GCCGGCCTGCGGCTCAGGCGCCTGCGCCATCGTCGTGGCCGGTGTCCTGCGTGGCAAGAACGAACGAAAGTGCACAGTGCAAATGGATGGCGGCAACATCGATGTGGAGTGGCGTGCTGAGGACGACTATGTATTCCTCAGTGGACCGGCCACAACCACCTACCAAGGCACTGTCCGATTCTTCCTCTCCGAGCTTCATTGATCCAGTGTTCCAAGACATGACTGGATACTCCATACTTCAACTTCCACACCAACTACTCATGTGCCATGTCCGTTACCATGCCATCCCACTGCCTTGTTTACATTACAATGTTGTACCAACATCATCCACTACTCCCCCTACTCCCTCCCTCCCTCCCTTACTCCCTACTCCTTCTTCTACCTCCAATACCATAATAAATGAAACGGAAGCGTTGTTAAATTGTTTATAGCCTTTGTCAAGGTAGTGTGTGTTGGACTTTAATTAATTGATTGATTGATTGATTGATCGACATGATGGCCATCAATATAGATAACACTCCAATCCAATACCAATCCAATCACTTCATCAATGTTGATTGATTTGACACACACTCTGATTGACATTGACGAATGATTGGTCTTGGTATTAATTGATTGACACAAAGACATACATCTTTAGACGTTGGTCACATTGAATTTGATGGGAAGTGTCTCTTTTCATTCATTCAACTACAACACTTTTCACATAAAAGTTGATCTTGTGGACCCCAAAAAAGTGATCAAATCAAAAAAAAGACCCATCAGAGACCACCACACACATATTCAATCAAACAATCATACTATTCATTAGTAGTCTATTACATCTTATTTATTTCATTATAGTGTATTTGTATTATAAAAGAAACACCAAGTAAACGCGTCAAATGGTAATTACAATGACATGACATGCCATGTCCTGGCCACAATCATACCCCAATATCCTAACAATCAATCACCTATCATCAGTCCAAGTTGAACGAAGAAGCACAGGCAGAGTTTAGAGAAGCATTCACTCTGCACGACTCAAACAAGGATGGCAGATTGGAGCCAGCAGAGATAGCATCTGCCTTGCGATGGCTTGGACAAAACCCATCAGCAACTGATATCAACGATATAATAAGAGAGTTTGGAGGTATGATTTGATTGATTGATTGATTGATCGACCGAATGCAATTGGCATAACATCACCATGATTGATTGGCTGACCACAATGTTGTCACACAACCCTCACAAACAGGTAATGGAGCACTGACAGTTGAAGGTCTGTTTAACTATCTTGGAAAGAAGGTTGTCGACGATTTCGATGAGCAAGAGTTGATCGAAGCATTCCAGGTGTTTGACAAGGATGGCAAAGGATTGATTGGAGCCTCAGATCTCAGACATATATTGACCAACCTTGGTGAGCGTTTGAATGAGGAACAGGTCGAGGAGATGCTCAAACAATCAGTTGGCTCTGGTGATGGTGCCATCAACTATGAACCATTTGTAAAGAATATGTTGAAGAAGTAAATAAATAAGTTAACCACACTGTTAATTGCCTTCATCTATCTATCCATCAAACACCAATCAATCAATCCGTCACTATTCTCTCAAATGGACAGTGACCCTTAATCACCATGGAAACGAGATATAGATAGAGATACAGAGTTATATTAACTCTTTAGTTGCTACTGTTACATAATTCAAAGCATGCTTTGTTTATTAAGTACCTAGGTGGAGGTGGTGTTTGGTTTGCTTGGATCTATTTTAACAATACTCAGTACGATGGACGTTGAAGTGTTTAGACTCTGGTGGCCTTGCCGAAGAACTCAGTCTCTTGGATCTCAGAGATATCGGTTCCTTGGATCTCAATCTGGATTCCGACCAAAGCCTTCTTGATGGCATCCTTGGAGGAGGTGTACAGCATCTTGCTCTTGATTGGTGCGTTGTCTGGGCACCTATATATTGTTTAAAAGGGAGAATAAGGTTAGTAATTGATTGATTATTGATTGATTGGAAGGGAGGGAAGTTTGAAAAACAAAAATGATCAAAAAAAAAAAGATCAAAATATCTTCTTCCTTCTCCTTCCCGCCCTCCACTTCATATGATTAAACTTACCAAGAGACGAAGGTAATCTTGTTCTTGTTGGCTCCCTYCCTCAGTGAAGGCGTAATCGACGATGACGTATCTGCAGTCAGATGCTGGGACGTTTGACAAGAACTCAGCAAAGCTGGAACCGGCTGGGAGGGTCTTGTCCAAAACGATCTCTTGGTTGTTGTTACCGATCTTGTAGAAGATGGCAGAGAATTTGCGACCCAACTTCATCTGGTTGAAGATTTCGATACAGTCTTGAGCGAGCTTGACACCGGAGGACTAAGGGAAATAGAAATGGTTGAGATATTATTATGTTAGATATTTTGTAAATGAAATGACTTTCAACAAACAATCAATCAAACAACAATGTCCATTGGAGAGAAGAAGAGGAGATAGAGAACTCAGAATGTGCAATAACAGACAATAATCAATCATCAAACATTCAATCATTCGATCATTTGATCAATCTGAAAGAATTATGTTGGTTATCGTTTGATTTGATTGCTTGTCCTTTGTCATTAACTTTTGGCTTGTAATCTCCTTATTTCTTCCCTTTCTCCAACTTCTCATCAAAGTATTGGCAATACCAATGGGTCAAATTGTTGTTGTTGTTGCACTGGTTGTTGTTTGTTGTTTGTTGTAATATAATGTAGGAAGATCGTTGTCAACATACCATTTTATATTGTTTGTTGTGGGTTTAAAGGTTTATAGAAACACAGAGAAAGAGAGTTGTAGTATACGTATAAGTGGATTTGATTGTATGTATGAATGATGATAAATGATTGGAATCTCTCGCTCAGTCCCTGACAGAGTAGCATGAGAGTGTTGATGGCTTTCGACAACAACCCACCCGTCCAACAGCAACCCACCGCCCCACACACTCACACTCGCTCATCTACCCATACTCTCATTCACTGACCCTTAAAGTGGATTGGATTTTTTTAATTTAATTTGATTTAAATTGTTTATAATTAATAAGATTATTTTGATTTTTCGATAAAGTCAAACACAAGCCATACTCATACCCATGTTGTTACCGCTGAAAATGAATGACAGTCACCCCACACCAACACTAAAAATTGAATTGTTGTGTTATTAAGTGTATGTGTGTAAATGTTTGTGTGTGTGTTGATGTGTTAACAGAATAGGATCACCCATGGGTGCCAACTGCCTTTGGATGGATGACTTGCAGAGATTTATTATTCAGTCAATGATTTTCGAAACTTGGTTGTGTTGTAAACAATCTCATTAATCAATGCGTGTATGGGTGTGTGTGTATGGAAATCTACATCTTATTATTATTACATCTCATTCACACATGTTGTGTTGCGTAACAACAATACAATGAATGTTGGTTGTCAACAACAAACGCCAGGAATGGATACATATTCGCGACGCACGCACATCTGTTGATCTAGATCGTACTCGCGCGGTTACCCTCAGATCTGAAAGTAATTGGCGATTCGCGCGATGACCTTTGTCGGACAACTAATTAGTTTCCCTACTCTTTGCTCGTCCGTCATTGTGTATATATTTATAAATATAATATATATATAGAATGTTTATTTATACATTGAATGAATGAATGATTAAATGTTGAATGTTTGTTATTGGATGAATAAATGATGGATTATTGTTGAATGATTGATCCACTGACATTGTCGACAATGATGTCCAATGCCTAGAGGAGAAGGAGTGAGAGTAGAGTATATAGTTATATAGGGTGGAAAGAGAGGAGAGTTTGAGAACAAACAGAGTTGATTAATTGAACTGTCGATGTTGTTGGCCTCCACCGCCACCACCTTGTTGTTGATCATTCTGTTGTTGTTGTTGTTGGGATGCTGCAGCATTCTGGAAATACTGTTGTAGCAATAGGTTGTTGATAAAGTTTGAATTGGATGCATTGTTTGATGTTGATGACGATGACTGTATCTGTTGTCGGCTGCTTTCAAGTGGAATGCTTGCCGACCTCATTGTATCCAGTGAGTGTCCAAGTGGCTTGGAGGAGGAGGAGGAGGAGGAAGATGATCGATGGAACTGAGTGTTGTCAGTGGCGCCACTCCTCCAGACAGGTGGAGGAGGTGGAAAGTCGAATGTGTGATTGTGAAGTACATGTTGTTGCAACTGGTGATGATGATGGTGTTGCTGTTGTTGCGAAGGAGTGAGCTGGTATGTATCATCATCCAACATGAATGAAGAAGGCAATGACTTGTTGAGGCCAGATGTCGACGTCCAAGATGGCGATGACTGTCCAATGATGCCAGAAGATTGGAACTGGCGATGCTGTTGCTGTTGCTGGTTGTTGTTGTGAAGCTGGCCAAGTACAGTGGAGGATGAGGATGAGGATGATGGATACTCAACGGGTGGGAGGAGGCCGGCATGTGAATGCTGCAGTGGTAGTGGCAGCGGCGGCGACGATTGTGACTGTGAATTTAGGAAGTAACTGGATGACGTCGTCGTCCAATGTGGCTCCAGCGGGGGAGACAGCGGCATGGGCAACATGCTGTAGCTGCTGCTGCTGCCACTGCCGGTTAGTGAGCGGGGGGTGGATGCGAGGGAGCTGGCGGGCGGGCTGTACAAAGCGCCAAGCGGAGACACATCCGATGTGAACGAGGATTGATTTACAGTGGAGTTGGAGGAGGATGCCAGCGAGTTGGATGGTGTGGACGATGTCGAGGAGAGGGGAAGAGGAGGAGGAGTGACGGTTCGGTACCCTGGTGTATTGTTGCTGCTGTTACTGCTACTGTTGTTGATGTTGCTATTTGTGTGAGTGGCGCTTGTGTTGGGGATTGAGGACATTTGAAGTGCGCTGAATATATGGCCACTTTGTTTGTTCACGTGATGTTGTGGTTGTAGTTGTTGTTGTTGGGCTTGATTAAGGTTGGAGTGTTGTTGTTGTCCTCTCCAAGTATCGGACTGACCTTGGGAGGTGTGATGATGGTGTTGTTGTGAGATCATCAATGATTGTAGTTGTTGTTCCAATGCTTGTTGATGATGTTGTTGTTGTTGTTGTGAATTGTGATGCTGATGTGATTGATGGAACTTCTTGGATTGTTTGTTTCCAGTGTTGCTATATTTATATTGTTGTTGTTGGTGTGGATGTTGTGGGTGTGACATTGGTTGTGATTGACCAGTGCTGGTGTTGCCAGACATTGAGTGTCCTTGTCCAGAATGTGCGACATATTGATTGCTGCCATGTCCTTGATGCATGATGAAGTTTGACAATGTCTCAATGTCCCATGATGACGATGACTTCTTGGATGATCCAATTGGGCCACCTTTATACATGGCAGCTGTATTGGCAATATTGTTGTTGTTGCTGATCATCGATCCACCGCCACCGCCACCACCGCCACCTGGAGACACTCCACCCTTGTAGTGTTTGTTAAGTGACTTGGTTTGCTTCCTTGTGGAGGCTGCCACTTTCTTCTTGGAGAATGAACAGTTGATCTTGACACCATTCAACAGGTTCTCACTAAAGTACTTTAGTGCCTGCTCAGTGGCCACCTCACCCTTTTGAGAGTCTTTGAAGTGGACAAAGCCATAACCCTGGTAGTCACCCATTGGCGTCTTTGGTATATTATAGTGATTGATCTTTCCAAACTCCTTACACTTGGAGAATATCAGTTTGTGAAGTCCAGGTTTGGCCTAGGGTAGGTTAAGTGGAGTTGGTTAGATCATGTATTGAATGAATGAATGAATGAATGAATGAGGTATTACTTACATCTTGTGGATTGAATGTTATATGTATGCTTGATCGTTGGTCACAGGAGTCGCTCCATTTGATCTTGACTGGCCGGTCACCAATGTAGGTGCCGTTCAAGTTGCTCAGGGCACTCTCGGCATCAGCCCTGAATTGGAACTTTATGAATGCATAGTTGTTTATAAATACACACTCTTTGTAGTCCAGTGCGCCAAAGGTACTGAATGTCTCCAAGAACTCTTGTTGGTCCAACTTAGTATCAACATTGGTCACATACAAAGTTGATATTGGTATTGCCCAATATACCTTGAGCTCATTGTGTAGGCACTCTGTTTCATTGATTGATTGATTAGTTGGGTTAGGATTGAGATGATTGATTGATTGATTGATTGATATATTATTACTTACTTGAAAGATGAAGTGATGTCTTGGCGTATAATGCTTCCTCTTCAGTCTAGATGCCAGTAGGGTTTGATGAGTATGATGGATAGGGTGGGTTGGGGAATGATGTGTTATGGACATACCCTGAAGCCGGCAAAGGCATATCCAAGTGATTGTCCAAGTTCATTGACCTTGATCCTGAAGCTGAAAGGATTGTACTTGGCAATTATTGGATAGAATTGTTCCTGTGATTGATGATAATTGGGGAGGGCGGGTGGTAAGAATGGGATCATTCCAGGATGATGGTTTGATGACGCCAATTCTATCTAGACTTACTGTTGTGACATTATGAGGTATGTTTCCAATGAATATATACTCTGTGGATGTTTAATGAATGGATGGATATGTAAATATAATTGATTGTTTGATTGAATTATTGATTGAGCGATACATACTTCGATCAGCAGTGTGGCGTTTCTCTTGTTTGGATGATATCATATACTGGGGATTGTCACCATCGGATTGCATGTTTGGAGAGAAGTTGGAAGAGTTGACATCGTCCATATCTTCCAGTAATACACTGCCAGTGTCATCAGGCATGTGTGATGACTCGTTGTACTCTGGATGCGGTGTAGATGGTGCTGATGGTGAGGGAGATGACGAGGAGGATGATGAAGTCGACCCATCGGCAAACCCCTCCACGTCTGTAACCGAGTTACTACTGTTACTGACACCTCCTCCACCTCCTCCCATGTTCTTGCTACTGCTGATATTTCTCATTCTATCACTAGACATCTTGAAGGCCATGTTTGAAGTGGGAGCCATCTGTCTGTAGTCAGGCGCGATAATCCTGTTTGTTTGTTTATATGTTTGTTTGTTTGTTTGTTTGTTGGTTTGGTTGGTTGGTTTGGTCAGTCAGCTGATGCATTAAGGGGCAAGTCAGGTCGGCCCGCTGGAACCTTGTGATGGGGGAGAGTCACACCAACAATAAAAGTGTGGACACAAAAGGCAATCGGACGAACTTGTCGAATGAACTTGTCGAGCAAAGAGCGTGAGTGAGTGAATGTTGATGGTTGAATGGATGGATGGATTGATTGGATCGGATGGTTGGATGGTTGGATGGTTGAAAAGAGTGACTTKGGAGTCATTCTGATCATTTGAAAATTACTCTTTAGAAAGGCTTTCTGTTGCCTTGTCCTGCTTGATTGATTAATGGATGGCTGTCTTGCCAAAGGGACTACTTCTATTGTTGTGATTACAGTTGACTGGATGGATGTTTGAGTATGTCCAAGTTTAAGGAAGTATGAATGATTTGATTGATTGAGTTGACTTGAATGAATGAATGAATGAATGAATGGATGCAAGGGATTGGATGACTGATTCTGAGGTTGATGTGACTGTGGATGTGACTGACTGTGAATGAGTTTACATCATTCAATCATTTTAACTTAACAACAAACAAAACAACAAGATTGCTATGAGGTTGATTGATTGATTGCTATGATATGTTATGATATGATATGCTTGATTGGGCACCATCTCTGCGGCAACAACACATCATGAACATGCCCTTTCCTTTTGATCATCAATCAATCAGCTGAATGATCATGGTGTTTTGAGGTGACAGACAGTCAGACAGCCGGGGGCGGAAGAATGAGAAATGGAACAATGAAACGGACGGGCAGGGGTAGGGTCGCCGCGCATTCATCATACCCTACCTACCTAGTTACACTTACCACACACACATCACCAACATGTTTGGTTGCAGGACATCCCGCCAACCAATGCCCAACATGATTAATTAAGCAACTCCAGCTGGAGAGGCAGACGCGGTGTGTGAATGGACTTGCGCGGATCAAGCCTCTTCAAGGCCATTGGAAGGGGTCAAGGCCCTCGACAGCGATTTATCATCGCCACCACCAGTGACCAAACACACAACTACATTGCCATCCAATGGAATGCTTGAGTGAATGACTGTCTGTCTATTTGTGTAGGTGATGGGCAGGGTGGTAGTAAGATTTTATCCGTCTGATCACCTCATCGTGAACAGAACCCAATCAAAATCACGCCAACAACTCAATGAGACGGTGAGCGTTTGCCATTCAATGTCACATGATCATCAGCCATGGCAAATATCTGCAAAGGGGTTACCAGCTTCACTGGTGATGGGCATCACACTCACACACAACCACAATTCATTCATGAATGAATGATTGATGATACTGATCAGTCGAGTCGATGTGGTGGTTTGATGGTCATCGAAGGAGGTCTCCATCTTGCGATGGTCATGTAACCCTGGACTTGGACGGTCGAATTGGATGCCCAACCATCCAATCAAATCCTAGAGACGGTAGTTTGTTGGTCAAGTACTTGATGTTGTTGGGGCTGTGGTAGCAAGTCAAGTCCAGTAAAGTACAGATGGAACTTGAACTTGCATGGATGCAGTTCAAAGCATGCCCCCGCAATAGCGGGTGACCCATGGGTCAGCGATGCTTCCTTCCTGTCCAGACAGCCCGGGACTGAGTCGGTAAGGACTTGTTGTTGTTTGAATGTTAAGTTAGTTTGATTGATTGATTGATTAGTTGATTGGTTGGTTGTTTGTTGAAGAATGAATGAATGAATGAGCTCATTAGTGAGTTAGTTAGTGAGTGAATGAATGAATGATTCGTTGGCATAAGGTATACCACTCATTCCTCTTGAAACTACATTGATGTAACTCATACATAACTCATAGATTCAAACCGTTCGATGACTGTCCTCCCGAGACGACAGACCGTCCGTCGTCCCATTTAGGTCGACTACTACTTTAGTAACAAAGTGGCGCTAGTTAATCATTCAACATGTTGGTGTACTTACCTTTTAAGTTCCCAGTCCCAGGGTGTCAGAGTCAAGTACAACCATTTCGTTCTGACTCATTGATTAGGTATGGGGAATGAATGAATGAGCGACACGAGAATCCCCAACTAATGAAGAGGAACAAAATCAAAGGTCACTACACACGCAACGAAGGTTCATTCTTGATTAAATTATCTACAAATACAACAACATTCGCATACATGTAAGCTTATAATGTTGTGTTTAATATAATAATGATTGACAATGTTGATGTTGAACTAAGTATATCAATCACATTCATTGATGAGTCCAAGGAGACCCACCCAGATGGCCTTGAAGACAAAGTTGTCTTGTCTTACTTGATGGAACAATCAGCTGACTTATGATGTTTCATTGCAATAGCCTTGGCACTAATAACAATGTCATCAGTTAGTTGGAGTTGACCACCTGGATTGGTTGGTTGGGTCCAAGAGGGACACGTTGTCTCTTCGTGATTGTGTGGTGTAGGGCTGAATGATCAAGAAAAAACAAACCCAGCTGGTTGTTTCATTTGAATCACTTTTTTGCCTTCGTCAACATCATCATCATTAAACCTACAAACAACATATTTATATATATTATAATATCTATCTATATTTATAACTGTAATAAACTAATTCGTTCAATCACAATCGATCAATCAATAGATCAATCAAACATCAGCAAACAAAGATGTCCAATGCATGGGGTAAAGCCTTGGATCAGGCAAGCATATTCAAATCATACTTTAATGAACTTGAGAAGGCAGTCATCAAAGGAACTATACACAAGTTAAGAGTACCAAAGGAGAAGCATGTGAGGAGTATGTTATTGTTGTTGATAATCAATCAATCTAGCAATCAATCAAAGTCTAACCGATCACTTTACCATTCACAGGATTGGTAATCTACACTCATGAGAGAACAGGTCCCATTGGTGATCTTTACACTCATCTATCGGCAAGACTACAACAACCTGATTGGATCGTATGTGATCGACATATTATCAATGCATTCATTCAATCATTCATTCAATCACATTGTTACTGACGCGGCAATGCATGCATGCACCATCTTTTAGATCGTCTTAAAGTCACTCATTGTATTCCACAGGATATTCAACTCTGGCAATGTCCGATTCTTAGAGGATCTGTCACATAGAGGTCTAGTGTTCCCTCTCGTCAGGTTCACAGACATGACCTCCACTCAATGTATGTGTCGTCTCATCCTGTACCCCCTCCGATCACGTGACCTTGACCGACTAACTCAAACAAACAACAATATAGCTCATCAACAATCTGTATTCATCAGGAAGTACTCGGCATACTTGGAGGAGAAGATATTCTCGTACAGGGAGATGAAGTGCGAGTTTGAGAAGGAGTCGTATACGTCAAAGGGTCTGTCGGTCGACCAGCTCCTGTACAGGATCCCAAAGATGCAGCGTCAGTTTGACTCGCTGATGGCCACCCATGTCGAGGAGGTCTGTGACAACATCATCACCATCAACGCCTTTGAGCTACTTCTCAAGGACAGCTTCAAGCTGTACTGTAATTTAAATGATGCCGTCTTGAACGTATTGGGTAAGCACATCAAGCATGCATGTTCATTCGCTCATTCAATCAATCAAACATACTCACACTGTACAATAACCAGAGCTGTACTTCCAGATGACCAAGAGAGACGCTACTATGGCGTTGGACATCTACAAGGTGTTCATGAGGGAGACCACTGAGATCATCAACTTCTTTGAGTCGTCGAGAAGGAAGTTCCAGATTGATCTGCCACATCTATCACAGGCACCATCAACAGTGGTCAAGGGATTGGAGGAGTACTTGAGCGAGCTGGACGATGACTATGATGGAAGCAACCCTCCACAACGCGACTACAACAATGGCAACAACAATGGTAACAACAACAACAACAATAGCTACAATGACAGCAGGTCTCAGAACATTGGATCACAGTTCAAGTCCACAAACCAGTTCGATCAATCAAAGAAGATGATGATGGACGATGTATCCTTGATCAACTTTGACGTAAGTGTCCGTCCCTGCCTCCAAGTGCACAACATGTTGCTGACATGGACCATCAATCAATCAAACAATCAATCACTTTTAGGAACAGGACAACTCATTCGACTTCACGACCACACCACCTCCTCCTGCTGCACCATCTACTTCATCATTCCAACAGCAGCATCAACAGTTCCAACCAATGCAGCCAGTCCATCAGCCGCAGCAGCAGCAGCCACAACCAATGCAGCAAAAGTCCAACATATCTCTGGACCCATTGGATCCATTTGCAGCTGGTAGCACACTGCAGCCACTCTCGCCAATGAATGCTCAGAGTAACCAACCACTCAACATGAGCAGTGGCATGTCAAAGTCATCGAGCCTGTTCGACTCTCCATCGTCCGCTCCACTGGTCCCCATCAGCATCAGCAACAACAACAACAGTGGCAATAACAATATGATGATGGGAGGTGGTGGCAACAACAATGGCATGGGCAATCAACCAATAATGCCAATGAATCAGATGAATCAGATGAATCAAATGAACCAGATGAATCAGATGAATCAGATGAATCAGATGAACATGGGAGCGAGACCAATGCAGCCAATGAACAACAATGGAATGAACAGACCAATGAACATAGGCATGGTGCAACCAATGCAGCCAACAATGGGCATGGGCAATAACATGGGAATGCAGCCAATGATGGGAGGCAACAACAACAACAACAGCAACAACAACTCACCTATGGGCATGGGTATGAGGCCACCTGGACAGGGCATGGGATCCATGCAGCCAATGCAGCCAATGGGTATGAACAGCAACAACAGCAGTAACAACTCACCCATGGGCATGGGTATGAAGCCAATGCAACCGATGCAGCCCATGATGGGAGGCAACAACAGCAACAACAGCTCGCCAATGGGCATGCAACCATTGCAGCCTATGATGGGTGGTAACAACAGCAACAACAGCTCACCAATGGGCATGGGTATCAAGCCTATGCAGCCAATGATGGGTGGTAACAACAACAACAATGGCATAATGCAACCAATGATGGGTGGCAACAACAACAACAACAACTCATCAATGGGTATGAAGCCAATGCAGCCAATGCAACCAATGCAACCAATGGGCTTGAATAACAGCGGCAACAACATGATGCAACCAATGCAGCCGCTGCAGCCAATGGGCATGAACAACAACAACAACAGGGGACCATACCAGCAATCGATGATGCCTGGTGGCCAACCGCAGCAGCAACAGCAGCAACAGCAACAGAAGGTGCAGGTACAGAACATCTACTTCTAGTACCTTGTCCGAGGTTCCAACCAACACTGTAGTCGAATAAAGACGAAAACCTATGATCTATGATGGTTATGTATGTATGAATGATCGACTTTTAGAGTTTATGCTGCCGCTGGCTTGGTGGCCGTAGCATCGGCGGCACCAGGCTCGGCGTTGTTGGCCTTTGAATCGTAGTCATAACGACGATAGACATTGTATCCGTGGCAACAGGCCATCGCCAGATTGCATGCGGCCAGTGCTCTAGTACCAGCATTCTGTGGCTGGATCAATGTGGAGTAATATGTCCAAATGGTGCCAGTGGAGCATAGAGACAATGATTGAGACATGTCAATCTTCTCGGGTGGCTTAGTGCCTGATATGATCTGTGTAATTGGTACGATTGAGAGTGACCATTTCATCAACTATATTGATTGATTGTTAAGTGAATGATTGCGAGTTGATTGTGTAAGTCGATGATGAATGCGCAAGCATTATTAGATGTGAAGACATACAGGTGCCAGGTTTGTAACTGTTTGATTGAGTGATTGATTGAATGAATGAATGAATGAGTGAATGAATGATGTTTGTTAGTTAGTTAGTATCATAGTTACAATGTTAGAGATGCTGTTTTCGATGATGATGAGACACATACTATCATTTAGAAAGGCTACACGAGGGTACTTCTCGCAAAGACCCAGAATGAATTGATTGCTAAACACAACCTGGTTGCCAACGAACCCTGACATTAACTTATTTACAAATTGCATTCTGTTATATGTATGTATGAATGTATGTATGTATACAATAGTATTAGTTAAGTTAAGTTAATATGATGATGAAGTTGACAAAGTTTGAGAGAAAGAAGAAGAAGAGTAATCCTGCAAATAATTTAATAAAATTGGGATTGGATCAGAATGAATCAACAGAATGCATGACGAATCGTGGAAGGGTGGGTCTGTTCTCTGTGCTAGAGTGAACAACAACTTCGCATCACAAGTGTGATCATCACCAATCAAACACAATCATATTTATATACTGACATACACATAATACACTTATATACACATATACAATGTCAGGAGAGAGATGGGTCAAATTCATTGGATTCCTTGGCGCTGCTGCCAACTGGACCATCCCTATAGCTGTATGTAGATGAATGATTAATGATCATGATCATCATGATGATATAGAGTAGTTGCTAATAACAAACGTAAACGATTGATTGTCAATATAGTCAATGATGAACTTGAAGAATCCACCAGAGACAATTGATCCCATTATGACATCAAGTAAGCTCATGTTGTTGTACAACAACATCAACAACAATGATTGATCGATGGAAGTTACTGACATAGGAGTTCATTCAACTACTTACCTCACATATCTAGCTCTGGCAGCATATAGTTTAGTGTTCATGCGATGGTCCATCGCTATTAAGCCACCCAACTATTGGTTGCTTGGATGTCATCTGGCCAATGAAACAGCACAGTTGGCACAATTGTCAAGATACACTTAGTAAGTGTTAACACCTACTAACTCCTCAAAGATCATTGCTTGTTTCAATGCATACATAATTGCTTACACATCTCCCTCTCTTACCTCATTCAATCATCTCCACTCACAGTCATAGATTAACATCATCACCAAACAACACAAACTTGGTACCAACAACTACAACTACAACAACAACAACTACAACAATAGTAGCAGCAGTCGATACCAACACAAGCAGTACATCAGCTTCGAAGCAATAAAAAATGATAAATAATAGTAATAATAGTAATAATAGTATTAGTTGAATTGAATGGAAGAAGACATGGTGATGTGTTTATTCAAAGAAAGAAAGAAAGAAAAGACCAGATGGTATTGTAATGGTTGTCAATACTCCAAGACTCAGGACAAGGCTTGCCCCGAGGACATAGGAAGTTGAACGCGTTGGACATGCCCACGGGTTGTGGGGTGTGATCTCTACCCACAAATACGGGAATTGCTGTCAATTAATTAATTGCCTGTATTGTGTCGTGTTCGTGGTTGTGTGTGTGTATGTGTGTGTAATGCGTACATTTAAATGAGTGTGTTCGGTTCATTCTTTCATTCCCTCATTCATTCACTCAGCGCTCACTCTCCTATCTCTTCAATCCAACAACAATCACTCAATCAATCAATCACAATCAATCAATCAAACAATTAATATCTTGTATATATATATATATATTCAAACAGTCTATAGATCGATCGATCAATCAATCAATCAATCAATCAATCCAAACAATCAAATGTTATTGTGAATAAGATAAATATTAATATATAAAGATGCGATTATTTAACAATAATTATATAATATATATATCGTCATTGTTAATATTGTTATTATTATTTGTTGGTTGGTCATCACCATTCTCTGTACAGACATCAAATGGTCGTAACGGCCATCATCATCATCATCATCACCACCATGGAGTTAGAGTACAAGACGAAGATGACAACAATGCAGTTGTCAGCAGACCAGACTCATTGGCAAACACATGTAGCGCAAGAATAAGAATAATCAATACAGTTATAGATATGAGAGATAAACAACAACAACAAGAACATCATCAACAACAACAACATATAATACACAATAACAACAATAAGAAACAACAACAATATATGTTTGATGTATTGTTCAATCGAAGTGATCACATGAAGTTGCCTGGACTCACATACTTGTCGGCAACTGATTATATTACAGTGCCAACTGGCGAGTTGGCCGTGCAGATTGTGGACAGAGCATCCGGCAGCTTTGTGTCTGTGGACAATGGACGAGACAGCTTCACACTGGAGAACGACACTGACTACACATTGATCATCAGCGGACTACTATATAATACAACAGCGCTCACCTTCCTCTCGGACAAGGACCTTTACTGTGGCGACAATCCCCCGCCTCAGTACCATCTGCGCCGGACCTCTCTACGATTCCTGCACTGTTCGCCCACGCTTGGACGCGTCGACTTTAGCGTCGTGGGCGGCGCCACACTCTACTCTGACGTCAACTATATTGGCGGAGGCAAGCGAGCATCGTCCAACACCAACTACATCTCAATACCTAGCAACCCTTACCTCTTCTTTGTTCACGAGCCCGCGAACACGACCAACGTTTACATTCCTGGTGGCGACACACCTCTGCTGGCGGGCGGCCAGCCCACACTGACCAGCATCCTAATGGTCGGATCTCCAAACAGTACCGACTATCCACTGCGGCTACTCTCAATACCCTATCCAAATAGTCGCGCGGGAGACTCCTCCCTCTTCCAGAAGCAGCTACCATATACACAGACCAATGTCCAGGTGCCACAACACTCGAGTCTATCGGCCACCACCAACACTGGCTCCTCAACATTATTCAAGTTCACAGTTGCAATACTTTCTTTCATTCTCTTGGCTGGAATCACTGTATTCTAATAAGTATAGTGTACAATGATTGAGCATCTCAACACCTCGCATTGTGTTGAGTGGCCCACGGTAGGTGATCCACGCTGATCACTGGGCGGACAATGATGACATCCAGTTAGCGACCTACAATGGTACCAATCCAGTCCAGTCCGGTCCAGTCAGTTACCTCCCGCGCCCATCCTCCCCTACCCCCTTTACCATGTTGTTTCATTAAACGATCAAACAAACAATTGACCAAGATTAGATTTAATTCTTGGTTGATATTTGCAAGTAGTAGGCAATGTCTTTGTGTCCACTTGATTGAGCTGCACGTATAGCATCCTCTTTGTTGGAACACTCGGTTCGATTATGATGCAGGAACTTCACCACTTCAAAGTAGCCATTGAATGCTGCGGATGTCATGGCAGCTCGGTGACATCCTTCGGTTCTATTATCATGTAGATACTCGACAATGTCCAGCTTACCGATCATCGCTGCATTGGTCATCGCTTGTTTGGAACAGGGTGCTGATATGACTTCGTGGAGGTACACCACGATGTCCTTGTGGCCGAATGCCGCGGCGTTGTCCAAAGCCATGTATGAACAGCCTTCTGTGCGATTGTCAAACAACCACTTGATGACATTCAAGTGTCCACTCATGGCGGCATGATCAATGGCCTTGTTTGTGCAGCCTTCCGTTCGATTGTAGTGCAGCCACTGTACCACCGCCATCCGTCCCTGCATGGCGGCGTGCTCCATCACCTCTGGTGTGCATGGCTCCGTGCGATTGTGGTGAAGGAACTTGATCACCTCGAGGTGGCCATTCTCAGCCGCCTCCAACCAGCACTTTTCAGTGCCGCCCTCTGTCCTGTTTTCGTGGAGGAACTTGACAATTTCGAGATGGCCACAGTATGCTGCCCAGTCCATGGCCGACGTCGTGCACCCCGTATCAGAGCGGTTCTCGTGAAGCCACTTTACAATATCCAGGCGTCCATAACGCGCGGCAATGTCCATGCAATCATCCACCTCAACGCCTGAGCTTGGCGAGGCTTTCTTCTTATTCTTGCTCTTCTTGCCCAGGGTGAGCATTCGCCAGACCTTCTTGATCCGTAATTGGTCCTTGTTGGACGAGGCCTCTTCGGCGGTTTTGTTTGCCAACTGCCAGCCATGGATGGTGCTAACGATCTCGAGGTGGCCGCACTTGATGGCATTCTTAAACGAGGTCATCAGGATCTTGTCGCTGCGTGATGCTGGTCTGTTCTCATAGAGGAAGCGCGACATCTCTATGTGACCATGTCGTGCGGACGTCTGCAACTCGTAGCCATTGAAGATCAAATCATTCATTGGATGTTGGTGTAGATAGCGCACAATATGAAGATGGTTGCGCATTGTGGCGATCTCAGCCACTAATTCATCTTGCAATCGAGTGCTGGCCATTGATTCATCACGCATTATCTTGTTTAGATGTACGGGGTCGGTGAGCAGTTGACGCAGTTTGTCCAAGTATCCGTGGTAGGCCAGTCCACGTACATCGACCTCCAACATTGCCCACGACAGCATATGTCTACCTTTCAACTTCCTATGTATCTCTACAACCTTTCCAAATATATACTTCCTTACAACAACATTATTAACAATACGAATGAATAGAGTTGTATATGTATCCATGATCTAGTAATATTACAAAAGTATGATTGATATTGATTGATTGATTGAATGATTGAATGAATGAATGGATATATGAATGATTATAGTACAAGGATGGTCGATTCAATCAATTGATAGCTTGATTGATAATATGCTATACTTTGAGTATTGTTTACATCTCTTGTCAATAGATACTATTACATACATGTTTGTTCAAACAAACAAATGATAATCTTTGAAGGGTTCTTTGAAGTTGATTCAAGAAATGAGATGGTCTGCGAGGTGGTGGCGGAGGTCACCCTCTCTTCCAAAGATTGTGTTGTTCAACAATAAAGATATTTGATTGATGAGTTCATTCATTGTTCATCCAAGAAGTAGTAATAATAATTATTGTTATATTATTATCTAATACTCTGTGTTTATTTGACATCATATATATTGATTTCTTAATTGATCATTGGCAAGGGAACTCTTTCCCTATTATCACACTCTCACTCCTCACCAATAATCACCATCAATGATTCGATCAAAACAGTGTTGTTTGAATAATTTTATAAATAGTTTTTGAAAATGATCAAGCTGTTTCATTTAAACAACACTCTGTGTGTGTCGGTTACTGCTTCATTTTCATTTATCACTTCATTTTATATTTATACATATACTAATATACACATATCTTTGTTGTAGTTCATCAACAAGCTATCAATCAAACAATAACTTGAATAATATAATCGGGGAACTCAAACACATTGAAAAATTGCCCGTGATGGACAGATCGCGATCACCAAGCAAACAATCACCGGTTTCAACATCTCCCACTCTACATAGTAGCAACAGTAACAGCAACAACAACAACAACATAGCTAGTAATGGAGGAGGAGGAAGATCATTCATGAGAGCAAGACAACTGTTCTCATTCCATGAGTTGGCTGGCACTGACCTCACATTGTTGCTGGAGGAATCGATATTGATTCGTGTATTCCAGTCACTAGAGTTTCACAACCTGTTTGTGGCCAAGCGTGTATGCTCACGCTGGAAGCCACTGTGCGAGAACGCACTATGCTATCAAGACCTGGACATGCAGTCATTCATACACAACAGTCGCTATCTGCCGCGATCAGTCATCACCATGTTCATTCAGGACCTGTCGTTCGAGGGCGAGCAGATCGACGCGCTGCGAATGGTGTGTCGCGAGATACCCCGTCTGGAGCTGCCCTGTTGTGGCGACGGCGACACGACCACCACCACGACCAGCTGTCACAGTCCCACGCACAGCCGCAGTGGCAGTCTCAATGGCAGCTTCAACAGCAACCATCATAATCATCACGATTCACTCAGTGCCAGCATGAATAGCAACTGTAGCATCAGCTACAATGGTGGGAAGGACGACCTATCCAGCAGTTCCCTATCCGCCTCCAACTCTAGCAATGGTGGATCACTGGCCTCATCATCCGAATCCCCTCACCTCACATCATCATCAAGTGGACTAACTCCAAATGCTCTAAGAAGTAGGTGGTGATCATACATGGCGTGGATATCTGGATGATCATACTAACGATCAATCATTCAATCAATCATTGTATGTTTTGTAGAAGTACTAGCACTGCCATTCGCAGCGTTGGACAAGAAGGAGAGACTGAAACGAGAGAAAGAGAAGAAGATGGAGGATGCCATCAAGCAATGGAATGAGATAGTTCCAAACTGGGAGAAGAAAAAGGCCACCAAGAAGGTGCGCGAACTTGTATTCCAAGGTATACCCTCAGACTCCCGTGAGAAGGTATGGCCACTACTCATTGGCAATGAGTTAAATATAACACCAGGTAAGTAGTTAGTGCACACATTGATTGATTGGCCGTGTTCGCTAACGATCAATCAATCAAAGAACTGTATTCTATATTTGGAGCAAGAGCAGAGAGAGCTAAACATAAGGGAGATTCATCACTTGGACGAGAGGGAACGGTGACACTTATTCAGTTGGATTTACCAAGGACATTCCCAAAGTTATCGATCTTCCAGAATGATGGACCATACCATCAGAAGTTGGCAAGTGTCTTGGAAGCATACGTTTGCTATCGACCTGACATTGGATATGTACAGGGCATGTCATACCTTGCTGCCATCTTCCTACTCATCATGGAAGAGTACGATGCCTTTGTCTGTCTATCCAATCTCCTAAACAATCCATGTTTCCGTGCATTCTACACCATGGATATGTCTCAGGTATGTTCATTCAGTGCTGATTCAATTAATTAATCACTCACAATTAATCAATCAATCAAACAGATGGAAGTGTATATGAAGGCAATGGACAGTCTGATGGCTACAAATATACCAAAGGTCCACAGACATTTGAAGGATCTGGGCATCCAGCCAGATATATTTATGCTCGATTGGGTATTGACCATCTTTACAAAGGCCCTGCCATTGGATGTTGCCACACATGTCTGGGACATACTGTTCCTGGAGAAGGAGTTGTTCTTGTTCCAGGTGTCGCTGGGCATACTGAAACTGTATTCACACGAGTTGGAGACAGGCGAGTTTGACCAGATCATGACTCTGCTCACACATCTGCCCGCCGACGTTGATGACGAACTACTCTTCCAACACATTACATCATTCACTATCAATCCCAAGTTGTTCTCCAAACTGGTTGGGAATGACAAGCAATAAACATTCATTCAACTGTTGTTGCCCATGTTACAAACTAACCATTTGTGTCCTATCTATCCATGGATAGGATGACGGACATTCGTTATTTATTGGAGGTAAGCAGGGTGGATATGTAAACAACGATTATGATTTGTCCTGGTGCCAAAGTGACCAGAATGCGTAGTGCATTATCCAATGACATGCACCAGGACATCTTCCTTTTGTGTGGCCAACCAAACATTCGATCCATAAGGCATGTGAAAGAGAGAGAGGGATTGGAGGCCATGAGGAGGTGGGGAAGATGGAGAGTGTCGACATTGAATGATTGAAATGATACATCGGCTGTATCATGTGTCAATTGTAGTCGACCAAAAAGGGTAGAGTGATTGATTGGGGAGGGTAGGAGTATGTATGACGGGAAATATACAGGTCGCCAGCAAGCCATCCAGCCAGCCAGCCAGTGATTATGGATTGCTTAGATTGATAATTGACCTTGGATACAGATTCAACTCCATCAATGTCTTGGATGTGTCGGAGAGCACCTCCTTGGGGAAGGTAGTCACCATTTGATAGTTGTCTTGTAGTGGCCTTGTCGTCTTGGTCTCCTGTTTCTCATCAAAGACAACGACGTCGACCCAGTCGCGCACCACCTGCAGTGGCGTCGTGGCAAAGAACTTCCTCGTGATTCTCTTGCCATCAGGTGGGAGACACACCGATATCTCACATACCTGTTTGCCACGCAGCTCCTCCACACTCATAATGGCGGGGTCCTTTGGCAGTCTGGCCTTGCGTTGGGCCATCATCTGCTGAAGGTTGGACTCGAGTGACATGCGCATGGCCATCTCCAGCTCCTCCTGCTCCTGTCGCTGCTGATCCTTACGCAAGGACTCACGCACCTCTCTATCCTGCTCCTCACGAATGCGTCTAGAGTCGTCGATCGCACGCTGTCTCTGCATGCGTAGTTGCTCGTTTTGGACGCGGGTCTGCTCGTTTCTGGACAAGTAGCCACGTAGTTCAGGGTTATCATACAGCTCGAACGAGTCATCGACGTCGCCCGCACGTTGTTCAGGTGCCTCGTCGTCAAAGTACTCATTCAGGTCCTGTCGCACGTTTACTCTCTTCTTGGCCAACGGCTTGGCGCCGGTCGGACTGGGCTGGCCTGGTTGTCGCCTGATCGACTTGACCTGCTGTTGATGTTGCTGATGTTGTTGTAGTCTGCTGATCCTCATCGATTCGTTGATGGCGCGCTGTAGTTGTGCCTCCTCGTCCATCATGTAGAGGCCAGGGTCGACGTCTTCTCCAGCAGACAGTCTGATGGCCTCTCTAATCTGTTGCTTCTCAATCTCATCAAAGTTGAGCTTGCTAAAGTCATATTTGATTGGGTCCTCATACTCGACGTCTTGGTCATCGTCATCGTCATCGTACTCGTCCTCGTCGTCCGAGTCATACTCTTGAAGCTCGGCCTCGGTCAAGTCGTCAAAGTCTCCGGGGTTATATCTGCGACGCTGGCCATTGCGACTGACCAGCTGCTGCGTTGGCGATGTGAAGTTCTCGTTGAAGGCGGGATGGCGCCATGCCTCGCTGTTGAATCCACTCTCTTGCTGTGGACGCTGTGTTGACATTAGATGACTTTGATTGAGCATCGTCGTGGTCTGTGGTGCGATTCCCGTCTGGTATGTGTAGGTCGATGAATAGGATGTCTCTTCTCCGTTTGGCAACACCCTTGTCGTGGTCTGTGTATAACCATTTGCATTGGCCGTTCTTGTCGTGAACACACTGGCGTCGCCAATGTTTGAATTCTGTCTTCTCACGCTTCCTCCCGATCCAGTGCTGCCTCTGGAGCTCGTGCTTCCTCCGCTCATCCTCAACGGGTTATTCATTGTTGACGTTGTTAAATATAGTAGTAGTTAACTTTGATTGATTGAACGAATGGATGATGAATGAATGAATGAATGAGTATGTTTCCAAGACTGTAGCTGTACCTTTATCTCTGAGTGAGGTGTAGTAGTAGTAATATATTGTTGTTGTTATTATTATAATAACAAAAGAGAGATAGACTAAATAGATAATATAGAGTGATAGACTGGTGATTGATTGATTGACTGATTGACTGAATGTTTGATTGATGTGTTGTGATGTGACGTTGGTGAATGAGAGAGTGTGAATGAGTGTGAATGAATGAATGAAGGAGTGTGAGTGAGACACACAACACTAACTATGTTTCTTCCTTCACTCTCTCACCCTTACCACTATCACACACACATCAACAGAACACACACCCCAGGGTTTGATCCACTCAATCAATCAGGTGACGAGACAAAGAGAGAGAGTGATAATATAGATAGAAGAGGTGTTTGTTTAATTTATTATTATTCCAATTTTGTTCCACACTTTGTCATTATTTCCTTTGAATCAATCCAACACTTGCATACATATACACTCACAAACACAAGGTTTATTGTAAAGTGGGAATTATTAATGACACTGCCATGACGTCCTCTTTGATGGTATATCGAGTGATCAAGATATATAATGGGTGTATGTCTGTCACTCCGACCAACACACACACACTCATCAACACTCACACACATAATAACAACTACTCGGTCGTTTATCCATCTTCGGAAATTGAATGTAGAATGGTCGGTATGATTGATTTGCTAGAGTGTGTGAGTTGTCCGATGGCTAGTGATCGCTCTATTGGTGTTCCAATTCCAGCTCCACAACTTAATTGATATCCGAAGCGAAATTGAATCAGTGGTGTTGAGTTTGATTGATCGATTGATTGATTAATTAATTGATTGATTGATTGATTGATTAGGAATCACCGGAAATCATGTCCGATCGGACACTTAAGCAATCTTTCAAGATGATATTCATAAATATGGAGACAGCCAGACTGGTTGATTGATTGATTGAAGGAATCAGTCTATCTATGACTTTAATGGCTTCAGTCCTAGTTTAGCTCTGAGTGCATTCATTTCCTCTATCTCTGTTTGTTCATCCTTCTTCTCTGCTCCATTGGACTTTGTTGAAGCAGATGAACCTGTTGATGATGATCCCTTCTCATACTTTGAAACATCCTTCTTCTTCTTAATCTTCTCCTCTCCAAGTACTGGACTCCTATCTCTCTTCCTGCTATCTCTATCTCCATCTCTACTATCTCTATTATCTCTATTTCCATCTCTGTCCTTGTGGTCCCTATCATCATATCTATCCCTATTATCTCTATTATCTCTATTATCCCTACTATCTCTATCTCTATCTCTGCGGTCTCTATCATCATATCTATCTCTGTCTCTATCTCTTCCTCTGTCTCTGTCTCTATCATCACGGTAGTCTCTATCCCTGTATCTATCTCTATCTCTGTAGTCTCTGTCATCACGATAGTCTCTGCTCCTGTATCTGTCATCTCGGTCGCGATGATCACGATCGCGATGATCCCTATCGTGATGTCCTCTCTCATGCTGGTCTCGATCACGACCTCGGTGGTCGTTGGATCGGACGTCTCTGTCCATCTCGCCAGGCTCGCGCTCCTCAATTGAGCCCGCAGGCTTGCTGTCTTTCATTGTGATGTCGACTTCTTTGGATGACGTCTTCTTGGGCACCACTGCACTTGGCTTGGAAGCACGATCTTGTTCATCGAGCTCAGACTCAACATCCAACTTTAGTTGATCCATGTCGACGATGCCCAAATCTACCAACGCCGACACACGCTTCGGCAGCGCATGTTGCTGCTCGAGCAGCTGGCGATGTGGCAGATGAGGCAGTGCAATGTCGCAAGCGTAGTTTGTAGTGAGCAGCTCTTCGACAAACTGATCGATCGTCAACTTCCTGTAGCCAACATCCAGCTTCATTCGCACCGACCTGTAATCATTGTACAATGGTTCGAGATACTTGTATATCTCTAGTGGCTTGCCTATCAGACGCAAATAGAATGCGCCCAACACCGTGACGTACTTGAAGTCCTCATTCGTAATGAACTCTGCAATGATATCCATATCAGGTTGTATCTGAAGCATCTTAAGTATAAGACACAAGAAGTTGGTCGGTTGTTTACTTCCTCCATACGTGCCACCAAATGAGTTCAATGCCATTGCCCTGTCGACCAATGTCTCCTCTATATGATGTTGTTGTGTTAGTAAGATATCACGTGATTGAAGATATGTCACGTGATCAGGTCACGTGATCAGATATCGGTGTCACGTGATCGCTTTCTTATACATACCGTTGAGACCAATGCACTTCTCCTTCCAGTAGGGATGCGACTGTATCTTGATCCTGACGATCTTCTCTATTAGATTCCTTGGATTGGCACCATGTATAGCCTTTGCCTTTTGTATCAGCATTGCTGAAGGTGGTAATCTTCTCTTCTTCTTCTTCTTTTTGCCATCTTCATCGACTTCATCGTCGTCGTCTTCATCATCATCTTCGTCTTCGTCCTCGTCAATGTCGTCATCTTCATTATTGTTGTTATTATCTACATTATCTTCATCATTGTCATCTCTAGTGTTGTTGTCCTTCTCGTTATCATCCTCCTCTAATGCTGGTGCATCTGAATTATCCATTCAACAAATTATAACTATTGATCAAAGATGAATAAGTTCAAACTTCTGGAAACACTGACAAACAATCAATCAATTTTGTTTCTGGAAATATCCAAAGTATACTAACATATATCATTAGTATATTATATTATCTATTAAGGAATAGTATTAGCCATCTGATCACGTGACTTACATATCTGATCACGTGACTTACATATCTGGTCACCTGACAATATAAAAAAAAGGAAGAAGATGGAACATGTAAGATAGGATAGGATATTGGATATGACAATAACATTAATCGTTAAAGATAAATGGTATTAATATATTCCATTAGTTTAGAAACCGGTAAGGGTAAAGGTGGTGTTCAACAGATCGTAGATTCTGCTGTGTGGGTGTGGAGAGCCACATGAACCCTCACAGACGGCAGCCTGGACGATGTACTCGCCTGGGTAGAATGGCTCCTGCTCGGAAGGCTCGGCTCTGAAGGAGAACTTGGCGTTGTAGGTGCCTGGCTGAGTGCCGACCAAGAGGTCGCCACCACCGAATCCAAATCCGGTTGGGTCGATAACGTTGATCATCAGCTGGCCGGTGCCGAGCTGGCTGGTCACCTCAAAGGTGCACAGGATGTTGAAGTCGGTGCCGATGGTGCCGTTGACTGGGTCCACGACCAAGCTGCTGATGGTAGCATTGCCACCGTCACGGATTGGGCAGACCTTCATCTCCTCACACATGTACACTGGGTCGGGGTCCTCATCAGTGATAATTCTGATGAACACATCAATTCCGACGTAGCCACACAGCAGGTCACAGGTAATCTTCTCGTCCTCCTTTGGAAGCTTTCCACAGAGGTCTCCACAGGTACCGAGGATATATGTGTCTATGTGAGATTATAATAATAATATGTTAGTATTATATTTACGGGATTGATTTGATCATTCAATCAAACTCAATGGCAACATACTGAGGATGATGTTAATAAGGAGATCCAGGGAGTCGCCCATGAAGTCGACACAGGTTGGACACATGTCCATGGTGACCTTGGTTGGGACATCAATGACAGTGGTGGTTGGAACGACGTTGAGGCCAAACGATGTGGCAACCATCGAGAGTACAAGTACGGCACAGAATAGCTTGAACATTTTTAAATGTATTATATATGTGTATATGTGTGATTGATTGAATGATTGATTGGTTGAATGAGTGGACTTTAAAGTAATGGATGAATGATAGGTGGTGGAAAGGCAGAAAATGTAGTTTGGAGGGTATTATTATTGATTAATCAAAGGGGAGAGACACAGGAATGAGTAGTGCGCCAACTACACACTCATTTAGTACCATAATAGGAACCGGAATGGTGGGGGGAAAGGTCCACCATGCTGCAATGCAACATCATGCCCTCTCAATGGGGGGTTGTGATCAATTCTCATCAAAGAGCCGGCCTAGAATCAAAAATATCATCCACTGTATTGGGGGCCTGTTTGACGAGGTTCATTCAAGCTCTACCCATCAGACCAAATATCATGATTTAGCAATCATCAACACAATTGAGGTGAGCACCTCCCAAACATGACATCATGGATATAATGGACAATGGCATGGTAGTACCTGCATTGATGTAACTTAAATACCTCTCCAAGGGTCGCAACAGTCAACTCCCGGCGCACTGAGAGAGATACTTGATTGATTACTCATATCCAGAGATATTAGGAACTTGTACTTTACATGATTGATTTGACTGACTATTTTGTTGACTGACTACCGCCCTTGATACTATCGTGTGCGAGTGACGAAGATATAATATTATTAATGTATTGGCCAATCAATGAATGAATGAATGAATGAATGAACGGAGTGGAGTGAATCACGATGCACTCGGAATGATGGAGGGATTAATCGAGTTTATTAAGTGATTAACATGCTTGCATTTGGGTGTTTGGGAAGGTAGGTAGAGTTGACTAGGTTATGAGGACCTCAAAAGGGAAGGGGGCTTTTGCTAAGGATACCAGCAAGATATTGGTAGCTACGGTTGCTGGCAAAGGCGATGACGGACGGTCGCTACGACGGGCGGTGTATGACAGTGATTTGATTTGATTGATTTGATTGTGTTGTGTTGATTGAGTTGATTGATTGGTTGATTGATGACCTTGGAACAAATATAACAATACATCATTAAGGGTCACGTCTATTCTGAATGATCCTCTCCAACGAAATAATGGAATACAATATCAAATCCTAGGTTGATTGATTGAGCGAGCGATGTTAGCAAATCACACTGACGACCATCATCGATGAATGAATGAACTACAACATAACAACATACCTTCTTTGTATACAGTGTAGCCGAATCCCTTTTGCAAGAACTGATATTCTACAAATGCTGGGCCATTGCCACCGAGTTGACTCTCAAACTTGGCCAGCTTATCCTTTGGTGCCTGACCATACTCGTACAGCTGGTTGACCAGTTCGCGCGATGGCTTGGGGACGAGCAGTCCGAGACGGACAAAGCCCTCGCTAGAGGTGATGACGCTCATGCATAGGCCTGTGAGGTCGGTCGAGTTGGAGCGCAGAATGTCCACGGCAGCGGGTGGCAGGGCGGGGAAGTTGAAACTCTTGAACGCGTCAATAGCCAGGTTCAGCTGGCTGGTGAACTCGGCACCGGGCAGCTTGAAGCGAACCTCGGTCTGTCTGGGTGGTGCAGCACCCATGTCTCTGCCAACACTGTAGCAGTTTGTCACCTCGTTGGCCTCGGCCCACTCTCCAAACTTCTTGGTGGGCTCACCAGCGTCGGAAGCCTCGATGGCAAGCTTAACTGGGATGTCGACGGGGAAGTACCAACCACCGTCCATGCCGCCCTTGTCGGACATGTCGATCCACGATCCAATCTTGAGTGGGTTGATCAGTGCGCCCACGTCGTTCAGACGATCGATCTCGGTCTCTGGTGCGCCGACGTTCCAGAAGAAGTCGACCATCTTTTGAATAAATATGTTCTGTGGACCGGCTGTTCTCCATGTCAGCTTCTGCATGTCGATAGAGGTGGCGACGTGGAACTCAATCGTTGTTCCGCTCTGCAGGTCGCTCTGGGGTGGTGTCGACTCTGACCAAATCTGCCAGAACTCCAGCACCTTTGAATCGTCCTGTTTGATTGATTGATTCCAAATGTTTGATTGATCGATCCAATGATTGATTGATTCAATGTGATTGATTGATTGATTGAGTGAGTGAGTGATCAACCCGACGACGATCATGTCCTATCAACTACAAACACTTACGTCTCTAAGGAATGAGATTGTGGACTTGGCATTGGCAATCTTTGCACGTGGCGAAGATGCGTTGAGTGCCTTCTCCTGTGTGCCGTTTGTCTTTGGTGGCGACTCGATGGTTGAGGCGGGCACCTTGGGCACCGATGGACTGGTGGAGGCGGCAGAACCACCCTCCATGTTGCGCTTGATCGACTCGATCCACTGTTTCATGTCCGTCTCAGACTCTGCAAAGATATAGAACACTCTTCTCGATGTGCCCAATGAGAACATGAATCTCTTCTTCTTCTCCTTATCCCTATCCTCCTTAACGTATGAATCTGGTTCAAACTCGATCAATCCTGTAGCTTCATCGTCCTGTTTGTTTGAATATCGCGTTGAGTAGTCATCGTCATCATCGTCGTCCGCAAGTTATAATGTGTTAGAGACATGTATTTGCGATCATTGATTGATTGATTGAATGAATGAATGAATGAATGACTTACAGTCTTGCTCTTGAAATAGTACAGCTTCTTGCCCTTTAGGACGAACCAACGTTTCTTCCATGTCTTGATGGCACCACCTTGCTTTGTCAGCCAACCCTCGCGGTCGGATGGTGCAAGTTTGGCAACAGAGACCAATAATGATGGATCGCTCATTCTCTTATTCTTCTAAGTTTGTATGTCTTCTTGATATATCAAATGACGTATGTTGTTGAATTCCTAACTTTATGTCTACTTTCTTACACACAATCTTTACTGTTTGTTTGGTAATATGATTGATTAAGAGAGTGATTAAGGTATTATAATAGCAATAATAATAATAATATATATACAAGCAAGCAAACAAGATTAGTTTAGTTTAGTTTTGTTAGAGAGATAGATAGATAGACTCAATTGCAATGATTGGCTCAGGGTCAGTGATGTTTGTGCAGTGATTGATTGTATGTGGTATGGTAGTGAGTGCGTGAGAGAGAGGGGAGAGTGAGGTGCTGTAGCTCCAACAACATGGCAGTTTGTCTTCCTTCAACCAACCCACCTCACTCACTCACAGCTCTTGAAAATATCAAAAAATGGCAAAAATTAAAAAATCAAGTGCTTTTTCTAAACGCTCATGTTTGTTTTTTGTTTTGTTTTTTTTATGATCAGATCATCACACCAATGAGTGATCAACTCATGAGCCATGACATGAATACAAGTCTATTTGGTGACCATCCATATGATTATTAAGCGAAATCAATAATATCTATTTTCAATGACCCATTTCCACACCCATCATCCTCCACTGATGTATGTGATTGATTGATTGATTGTCAATGGCGTCGGGAAGTCCGCTTCGGAGGAGTGATGAGTGATCATAATGGCCGATAAACAATGCATGCCAAGGTCCGTCCCTTGTATCCAAGTTAACATTGTAGTATTATTATTATTATTTGTACACACAATATCATGAATGAGTAGTTGAGAATGGTTTGAAGGAGTGATGGATTGATGGATTGATGGATGGATAGATGGATGGATGTCAGACAAGACCTCAACAATGAAGAAGAAGATCAAGGCAAGGTAATCCTCTTTTAGAGATCTGTTTGATCGACCACAAACAACAACATATCAACAACAACAACAGTCATCCAACACCAACAACAATAACAAAAAGAGTAAACAGTCGACACATTGGTCTGCCAATTTACAACAACCCTTGTCAACTATGTGTAGGAGTAGGCCCCGCATTCTATCTTTTATGTTAACTTGTACGAATTTGTCGTGTTAAGGTCATGTCTGTCTTTCAACCACAACCACACACACACACACACAACACAATTCGATCGATTACTACCTTTATCATCAGGAGTTACATACCTTTGATACATAGTCATCGTTCGAAGTCCTCGTCGTTACTTGTTAGATCTAACAAGTCGTCATATATCGAACACCACCCTCATCAAACAAGTGCGTACGATGGGTTCCATCTTCACGTGAACCTTTGTTTGCTCTCTTGTCGTTGTTGTTTGTGTTGTTGTCGATAAAAGTGAAAGTGTGTATGTGATTTTGATTCATTCATTCATCCACATTACTTTTTGATGCCAATGCCACGCCAGCCACTTTGCAAACCTATTCATGATAACTATCTTGCAGGACAAAAGTACGATAATGGAATGGGGAGGTTGGTGGTGGGGTAGTACCATTAACGTAACGAATGGGTCTTTCCAAAGTTGTTCACTAAAAATAGTAGACGTATGTGGAGATTAAGCAATCTATCAATCACACTAAATCTGTCCTTAGGCTATCCATTCAAAGAACTCTTGCCCTTTGAGACAATGAGGGGGGGGGCTGCCCGAGGCAAAGGTGTAGCGTAGGTTGTGTTGGTCCTCATTGAAAGTGTGCGAGTGCTTCCGACTTTACTGACCTATGACTTGACTCGTCGTAGTGTTTCCTGGTCAAAGCGTGGTGGTTGTTGATTATTCAGATATCAGAGAAGAAGTAGGTGGTGTGGCATCATCACGGCTCAGGCCTCTCGACTTGTCGTTCATTTGAATAAGTTATCTCGTGTAGTGTGCACCCACATCCTCTCCTTTAAAAGTCATGGACTGAGCAGCAAACCACGGACACCACTTCCATTTGTCCATCCATCCATTCATCCATCAATCCATCTATTATCGCCCATACTACATCATCATTGTCCTACATCCATCATCATCATAAATATATATATATATCTAAATCATATATCTAACTCATTCAATTACAAAACAATCAATCAATCAAATATCAATTATCAATAATATGTATAACTTTAACAAAATATTATATGTTGCCTTGGCTTGTGTAGCCTTGGTGGCAGTTGGAACATCAGCCTCAAACTATGTGTTGTTCCAACAATATAGTGACCATCAGTGTGCTTCTGGAAATGTGATCTATGGTGCGTATACTCGCGTTGGCTTGTGTGACAGCAAGGCCATACTCTCGTGCAATGGCACAAAGGTCGTCCTGGCCGACTACGAAGCCGCCGACTGCAGTGGCACGCCCATCAACACCAGCACATTCAACCAGAACGAGTGCCAGACCGGAGTGACCTTCCAGTGTGTCGACAACGTCGCCGTGCCAGCGGGCAACCTCGCCACATCCACATTCACCGAGGCTGCCTGTGGAGGCAGTGCCGCCACCACCAAGTACTTCAAGAGCAACTGGTGTTTCGGAGGCTCCCTCATTAGCTGTAACGCCACCGCTGAGACCGTCCAATACTTTAACAACACAGATTGCTCTGGTTTGGCCGAAGACCCAATACTCTTTTGACATCCAGTCATTCTGTACTTCTGATCCAACCGCTACCCAGATGACCCAAACCTGCTATTAATTAATTAGTCGTAGTTAGTTAGTTAGTTAATAAAACCTAGACAACATCGTTGCGTTGCTCGTCTTGTTGTCCACCATGTATGAGTGATTGGAGGCCACTCCTCCTCAATCACTCATACATACATACAACAATGACATTTGTATGATTAATAGATAATTGTCCTTTTATTATTATTTTCTCTTTTTGAAAGATTGAGTACATCTCCACCAAGGGGTGGAATGATTCCAGCCCTAGCCCAACCCCAGGCCCATTCACCACACAAATATTCAACACACACTTTCTCACAAACGCCACCATGATACTATTTATTTACAGACTCGAGAAGAGAACTTCTTTACCGGTTAATTAAACGTCTTCAACAATGTCGACATCATTGTGTCATTGTAATGATCATTCAGATATATATATATATAAGTTGAGGTTGTGATGACAAGGTCATCATAATCGCATTATTTGTACATACAAAGATAATAAGAATGAATAGCATACTTATAAAATGTGCCAACCGCACATCAATAATCAAAGGTAGTGTCACCAACATCAGATACTTCACTACATCTTCATCAACAAGTAAGTAAGTCACGTGATCATGTGATCACACTCACTCAATCATTCACCCTCACACACTCACTCAACCATTCAATCAATTAATCAGCTGTAAAGAAGGATCTAGTTATAATTGGAGGTGGACCAGGTGGATATGTGGCTGGTATTAAGGCAGGTCAACTTGGTATGAGTGTGGCAGTTGTGGAGAAACGTGGCAAACTTGGTGGAACATGTTCAAATGTCGGTTGTATACCTTCAAAGGCATTGTTGAATGCTACGCACAAGTATGAAGAGGCCAAGACTAGATTCCCAAGTCTAGGCATCCGCGTGGATAATGTAGATTTCGATCTGGACGCCATAATGAAGTACAAAGACAAAACAGTCAATGGCCTAACAAGTGGCGTCGAGGGCCTGCTCAAAAAGAACAAGGTCGACTATCTCAAGGGTCATGCCACGATCACTGGCACAAACACGGTCAGCGTGGCACAGCTTGATGGCACGACCAAAACATTGGAGGCCAAGAACATCATCATCGCCACAGGCTCAGAGATTACATCACTACCAAATGTGACCATTGACGAGGAGACCATCGTGTCGTCGACGGGCGCGCTATCACTTCGCGCGGTACCCAAACGTTTGGTTGTGATTGGTGGCGGCGTGATTGGATTGGAGCTGGGCTCGGTCTGGTCACGACTGGGCGCACAGACCACAGTGATCGAGTTCACTGATCGCATTGCCGCGGGTGCCGATGGTGAGGTGGCCAAGAAGTTCCAACGCATCCTCGAGAAGCAGCACATCAAGTTTCACCTGGGGACCAAGGTCACGGCCGTGACGAAGCGTGAGTCAGGCGGCGCCACAGTGTCTGTTCAGGCGGTCGGCGAATCAGGACTGACGGGCGAGCTCGAAGCCGATGTAGTGCTAGTCTGTGTGGGCCGTCGTCCAAACACCGATGGTCTGGGCGCAAAGGAGCTGGGTCTGGGCATGGACAAGGCTGGCCGTGTGATCATTGGCGAGAACTTCCAGTCCAGCGTGCCATCAATCTATGCGATTGGCGATGTGGTCCGTGGCCCCATGCTGGCACACAAGGCCGAAGAGGAGGGTATTGCCGTGGTGGAGCATCTTCACAATGGCACAGGACACGTCAATTACTCGGCTATACCATCGGTAATCTACACGCATCCAGAGGTGGCATGGGTGGGCCGCACCGAAGAGGAGCTCGAACAACAGGGCGTACAGTATCGCGTTGGAAACTTCCCATTCTTGGCCAACTCTCGTGCCAAGACCAATGCCAGCACGGAAGGATTCGTCAAGTTCCTCTCGGATGCCACTACCGATCGTATACTTGGCGTTCATATCGTTGGTGATTGTGCTGGCGAGATGATCGCCGAATCAGTCTTGGCGATTGAATATGGTGCCAGTTCCGAAGACATTGCGCGCACATGTCATGCCCATCCCACACTCTCAGAGGCTGTGAAAGAGGCAGCAATGGCTACCTATGGCAAACCAATACACATGTAAACATATAACATATTATAATAAACATTTGACCGATCAATCAACACACATGGGTACTCAATCAGGAATCATTCCAGCCCTCACCCTACCAAACACAAAGATCAAAAAGGCCCTCCTTTTGTGCCAACTCATCATTCATTCATTCAACCACCATTCACAATCAATCACATAATCATAAAGATGGAGTCACTATCACATGTTTTGTTATTAGAGGTATACTCAATGTTGGACAGTGCGCTGGATGTTGTGTCACTCAGCTTGACATGCACACGATTGTACAATATGATGATACAGGACAAGTTACCAACAACTTGTAATGTAACCAAACGTGACAGTCATTGTTATTGGAAGACTTCACATGACATTGAACCAGGTTCACTATCACCGACACTCATCTCTCTTACGCTTGGCTCAGAGTCCCATGCACAGATCAAACCTGGCTCACTCCCACCATCACTCAAGACACTGTGGCTAGACGGACTGACCAACCATGAGCTCAGACGCGGTGTGCTCCCACCGTCGCTCACTACACTCTACTTTGGCTTTGTCTTTGATCATCCTATACTGCCGGGCTTACTGCCTCCTTCACTTCAGACACTCGGCTTTGGCAGAGGATTCGATCAACCATTGCGACCAAATACGCTCCCGTCATCACTCACCAAGTTGAGCCTAGGTGGTTTCTTTAATCAAGAGCTCACACCCGATACCCTGCCCCCATCCCTTACCTCACTTACTCTGAGCTCAGAGTTTAATCGTAGGATTGAGACTGGCGTACTTCCATCATCACTTAAGTCCCTGACCTTTGGAGGCGGGTTCACTGGTGGCATCACACCTGGCATGCTCCCCTCGGGACTTGAGACCTTGACTCTTGGCTACAATGACAACAACCCAATCGTATGTGGTACCCTTCCTGACTCCTTGACATGGTTTGGCATTGGCGCGCAGTTCAACAACACTATAGAGATTGGATCTTTGCCCAGGTCATTGAAGACCATTCGCTTTGGCTATGAGTTCAATGGACAACTCAAGGAGGGTATCCTACCGTCATCGTTGACAGAGTTGGAGTTTGGCGTTCGATTCAATCAGCCGCTCAGCCAAGTGAAACTACCAAGCTCACTCATATCACTCAAGTTCATGAATGACTTTAATCATTCGATTCAGCCTGGCGAGCTACCTTGCTCACTCCAATCACTGACGTTTGGAAGGAACTACGATCGACCACTGATTCCAGGTGGCCTCCCGCTATCATTGACATTCCTGTCGTTTAATGTTCAATTCAATCAAGAGTTGACCGAGGGTGTGCTGCCCAACTCGATTACAAGCCTGGAGCTTGGAACCAGCTACAATCAGCGTTTGGCGCCCAACGTACTACCATCATCGCTCAAGAGATTGTCGATGTCATTTATGTTCAATCAGACGTTGGAATATGGGTCTCTACCTTCATCCTTGATAGACCTAACGTTTGGCCATATGTACAAACAGATCATTGCGCATGGAGTGCTGCCCACCTCGCTATTGTCCTTGAAATTGGGCCATGCATTCAATCAGAGGATTGACCTTGGTGTTCTCCCAACATCCCTCACATATCTTGGATTTGGCAACAAGTTTGCAGAAGAGATGGAGGCTGGCGTACTTCCTGATTCAATCCAATGTTTGGTAGTTGGTCCATTCTACTCACATGCAATCCGGCCTCCATCCAGCCTCAAAACCCTCGCGCTGTATGGGTTTGAAGCACTTGTCAAACACCAACCATACCCTGCATCGTTGGAAGATGTCACAATGACCGCAAGGATCAAGTATTTGGAAGATATACCAAAGGAGCCAATCAAGATGGCGCATCGCCTACGTGAAGTCCGCATTACAATAGAGACAAATAATCAACAATTGTCCCGCGATCTCATCAGAGCACTGGTGCATGCCATTCCCAATGTGCAAACCTATCAAATAACGTCAGTCAATAATTTAGGTGATTCAAGAATGCATGGTAACATCAACTTTGAGGCACAAATACGTCCAATCGACAATGGTCGTGTAGCTCTATGCATCGTGACCGAGCCAGATAATCCCACCCATCAGTTGATCAACACCTTCATCCTTTGATCGAAGTAAAGTCCTTCTTTATTGTTATAGTTTATAGTATAATAGTATAGTGATGGCAAGCAAGCAACCTGGAAGGTGTATCCATCCATGTTGATGTGATGAGGTGTGTACATTGAATGTGTTTAGCCAATCTTTCTTGAGCCTTTGTTGACCTTGGTCTGATTGGACAGACAGATTGGACAGAAGCCAATCTCAAACAGAGCGAGATGTCCGCCTGCGCCACCTGCTCCACCCGCTGCACCGCCTCCTTGCTGTGGGCCGGGCATGCCCGGCACCTGACCCTGCTGCTCAGCCGTCCTAATGCAGCGGCTATGATAGACGTGGTTGCAGAAGTAAAGCACGATGGAGCAGTCGGGCTTGTGTGTGACGATCGACTGGGAGCATGTGGCGCACTTGGTGTACTCTTCCATGCTGTGGCCAGCCCGCAGCGCATCTAGATGTGTCTCGGACAGGTAGACACAGTCGCTCTTGAGGATCTCCTTGCAGCCCTCTCGCAGAGACATCTGTAGGTTATAGTCGCTCAGGATCTTGACCAGTCTGTTTCGCAGGTTCTGGATCTCCATCTTGTCGGGAATCATGCGGATCAGCTTGATGGGGTCGACGTGGCTGCCAATGTTCTCGAGCAACTCCGAGACGTACAGTGGGTTGGTGATGGCCTTGTTGATGAAGTAGCTCCACAGGTCATTGTCCTTTTGCTGCTCCACAAACTCGATGGCGTCCTTGATATTCCTCAGCTTGTCGAGGATGAGGTTCAGCGCGTCCTTGGCGCTACCCATGCGACCCAAGATGTAGACCATCTCGGCGTATAGGTTGCGCTCTTTACAGATCTGTAGCGCCTTGTCCAGGTTGTAGGATATACTGTTCCTGAGGAAGGGCAGCAACAGGTCTGGCTCGTATTGTGCGTACAGAGACACCTGGAGCTCGTGGAAGTCCATGCCGGCACGCGCGTCCTTGAGGAAAAGCGTGTGTAGATAGAGATGTGTGTACTCGGGCTTGTTCTCCAGCTGCTTGACGACGACGCGAATCGGTATCTTGTCGATCTTGTTCACGAGCAGCTTGATGGCCTCGACCTTGTCATAGTCGATGAGCAACGCCACCTTGTTCTGGATCGAGTCGTACAGCTTCTCGTTGTTCTTGATCAGTTCAAAGACATTGCCGCGCTTCAGCTTCAGGTAGATGTCCAGGGTCTTGTCCTCCTGGTTGTCGTAGATGTACAGCTGCGCCTGGCCAACCATGATGGTCTCGTTCTTGTTGAGCGCCAAACGGTTCTCGACCTCGGTGATCACCTTTTTGATGTCGTAGAGGTCGTTGACGCTAGGCGAGCCCCACTCACTGACGATCTTGAGGAATGTGGCTGGGTCGTTGTGCAGGAAGTGATTGAGCAGGATCTCGTACGTCTGCTGGCTAAGCTTGGGGTTGCCAATGGGGATGTAGGGACACAGGGCCTGCAGGCCGCCGTGGCGCATGAAGCGCAGGAACCACTTCTCCCACAGCTCGTTGTCACGTGCGCACACCTTGGGGCACAGACTGGCAGCCTTGTCCATTTTCTCGTCCTGTAGCAGATGGTCCATGTATCGCTCACCAATCTCACGAATCCTGTTGGGCGGCAGCGAGCGTATCGTCTGCTGGTCGCGCTCGACCTCAGCCAGAGCGTCATCGTAGCGATCCTTGTCCATCAGCCACTTGATGTGGTCCTCCAGGTTGCGAGGCTTGGCCGTGACGACGTCCTTTGGACACACGATGTAGAAGATTGACTCTTGTGTGTTGTAATCGAGGCGGTAGTCGGACGCCGTGTAGTGCTGATAGCCATTGACGTTGAGATGGTCCTTGGTGATTGCGCGGTTCGTCTTGCGCGAGACGATGTAGATTGATGGCTTCTCGGCACTGTCCACACGTCCCTGGTTCCACGCGCCCGTCAGGTTGGTGGGCGAGGACATCTTGGGTGTGGCGGCAGTAGCGCTAATGTCGTTCTGGCCCTCGACGGCGCCATCGCTGTAGCCGAGCAACACGAGGTCTTCGCCAAATGGCGCGACACCGCTGATCCAGTAAGTTGTTGAGAACTGATTGGTGATCTGTGCGATCTTGTTGATGTTGCCATTGACGCCGTCGATGCGCTCGATGATCTGGATGACGTCGACCGACTTGGCCCAGCCGATGATCAGCGTGTCAGGACGCTCCCAGCACAGACAGCAGCGATAGAGCTCGCCGCGCGGCGATCCCTCTTTGCGGGGGATGTGCGCAATGCGCATGTTGGTGCTGCAATCAAAGATCTTGACGCCATTGTCGTTGGCCCAGGCGATGAAGTTGCCGCACCACTTGATGGCGTAGATGGGGCCCTCGCCCTGATGTATGATCGTCTCCTTCGAGCGGAACCATCCCTTGGAGTTCAAGATCAGCTGACCGCCCTTGCCACCAGTAACAAACTGTCGCGTGTTCTTATGTGCAAACTCAGAGTCCAATGCAATTGCTGTTATAGGTCGAACGTATTGGAATGTCATTGTCTCGCCTGTGCTATCGAATGGGCTGATGACCACCTTGCCTGTGTTCGTGATTGAATGAATGAGTGAGTGAGTGATTGGTGTATCGCGGTTACACCGCCACAGACATCATCGCGTCGCAAACACCTTACCATCCACTGTGCAAGATGCTATATAATCGCCGGTTGGATCGATGGCTATCTCTGTGATGGTGGCATTCTGTGAACCAAAGTTCTTGATCCTGTTGCCATCAAAGTCGTGTATGCTGACTGAGCCGTGATGTGTGCCCAGCACAATGAACTTGGGATGCACGGCCATGCATGATGCCGAGTCGACCTTGAGTATCTCTGTAACGCCATGACCGAGACGCGTGTAATTGAGGATGGGCTCTACGTCCTCCTCTTCTGCCTCGCCCTCGACCTCTTCCTCATCGTCCTCTTCATCGTCATCATCAGCTTCGTGGCCAACACCATCCGATTGATGTCCATTTTGTCCATGTTGTTGGACATCCTCCTCTACGACCTCTTCCTCTTCCTCGTAGTACTCGACCACCTCCTCATACTCCTCCTCGTCGCCTTCTAACTCCTCCTCCACTACTCTATGATTGTTTGTCGCAGTAGTTGAGGCCATATTATATATATCAGTTGTTTGATTGTTTGATCGATTGAGTGATTGATCAATGCTAATGTGATTGATTGATTGAGTGCCTATCTTTTGATCAATGTATGAATGACCTTCTCTATATATCTATCTATCTCTATCTATCTATCTCTATGTACAATGTGTATATATATAGATACGTGTAGTATCTGTCCGGATAAGGTGTGATCAAGTATCATTGAATCATCACAATTCTCAATTTTACAGATATTTCTTTTGAATGTTCACGACAGGAATGAGGTGGATTTTGCGTTTTTATTGATCAACTCAGTCATCCTTCAACATTACTTCTTGTGTCTGTTCCTTTGTTCCAGAGTTGTTCTGATCACTCCACTGACACCATCGATAAACTTGGTCTGGAATAGGACGTTGGCATTGTTGAACATTCCTTCTTTGAGACTGACGACGATGAATTGTGATGCGGTGAAATGTGTTTTGAGCATCGCTCCAATGTTGGCTGTATGCGAGAGGTCCAGCGCAGAGTCGATCTCATCCAGGATGTAGAATGGCGCAGGTTTGAATCGCAACAGCGCCAGAATGAGCGATAGTGCCAGCAATGACTTCTGGCCACCACTCAGCTCGCTCAATGTCTCCTTCCACACATTACCAAAGGCGACCTTCACCTCCAGGCCATCCAGCTCAGACTGGCCCTCAGGTGGTTCCAACTTGGCATTGGTGCCAGGTAGCAGAGTTGAGAAGATTGATCCAAAGTCACTAAAGTTGATTGATTGATTGAATGAGTGAGTGTTTGAGTGGCGCTGGGACATCATCATCATGTACATACTTGTTGACCTTCTTCCATGTTGTCCTCAGCGACTCATTCTTCTTTTCGTCAAGCTCTGCGATGACCGTCTCAATCTTCTCCTTGTCGTTCTCAATGATCTTCTTCTTCTCTACCAAGTCATTGTACTCTTGTTCGGCCCTGTTATTGATTGATTGAATGGTTAGTCATCGTGGAGAAATAAAGTGAGTGTGAATGTGATTGATTCATAACATACTTCTCAAACATAGACATGACCTTCTTGTTGATGGACTTTGACAGACGTTCAATATCTTCCTGGAGATGAAGCAACTTGGCCGTTGCCTTTTGTGGATCCTGTGCTTTGAAGTCGTAGTCGCTGTTGGGCTTTCCAAACATACTATATGATTGATTGAATGTATGAGTGCAAGTCCATCACATCTGCAATCTATATACTACTTACTGCTTATCATTCTTGATCCATGGATATTGATTGTTCATCTGTTGGATATACTTCTCTGCATCTTTGGTATCCTTTTGGAATCTGGATGCCTTGTGCTCGATCTTCTTGAGCTCCAACTCATTCTCTGACCTCTTCTGCTGGTTCTTCTCAATGTCTTGTTGTGCCTGAGCAAACTTCTCATTCTGACTCCTGATGATGCTCTTCTTCTGGTTCAATGTGGACTTGAGTGTGTCCAGCTCGTCCTGGTCTTTGGCCAGCTCCGCCTCCATCTTGGCGATCTCCTTCTCGATCTTGGAGACGTGGCCCTCGTTGCCCTGTGCCTGGTCGGAGAGCGAGGCCATCTCAGTCTCCAGCTCCTGTATCTCCAGAGTGATCTTCTCGATGCCCTGTTGCTCGACCTTGGCCACCTTGTTGGACTTGTTGAAGGCCTCCTTGGTCTCGGCCAGCGTCTTCTCGATCTGCTTCTGCTGCTGGCTCCTGATGTCCTGGAAGTTATTCTTTACCTTCTCCAGCTCCTCGGCCTTCTTGAGCGATTCCTTCTCGCGCTTCTTTGTCTCCTCGAGCAACACCTTGTCGTCCTCGATACGCTTCTCAATCTCCTTGATGCTCTCGATCAGCTGATGGTGGGGGTTGAGCTGGAGACGCGAGTCAATGAGGCCGAGCTCATGCTCCTTCAGTTGCAGCGACTGGGACAGTTGCTTGTACTTGTCTGACGATGCCTTGATCTGGGCCAGGCTGGTGTTGACCTCCTGCAGCTCGCCGTGCTGCTCGGACAGTTTGGCGCGCATCTCATTCAGGTTCTTGATGTGTGTCAGGATGGAGCCAGACGATGGACGCGAGCCTCCCGTCAATGTACCAGATGGATTGTACTCGTCTCCGTCCAAACTGATTGTCTTGGTCCTGATCGAGTTGTCAAAGGCCACCTGCTGGGCGTACTTCTTGTCCTTGGCAATGAACGTTGTGCCAAAGACAAAGTTCATGGCGTTCTGCAGTGGCTTGTCATACTGGATCAAGTTGATGGCTGGCTTGACATTGTCGGCACCGGCCAACTTCTCTGCGCTCTTGATCTTTTGTGGCTCGATCGTCCTGTTCTCGATCCTATTCAGTGGCAGGAATGTCACTCTCCTCTTCAGCTCGCCCTTGGCCAGCAATGCCTTGCCAGTCTGCTCGTCCTCAATAACAATCTTGATTGAATGGGAGTTATTGAGTGAGTGAGTGCTTGCCCTAAGGCCTCAAGTCAAACTACTTACATTGTACAACTTGCCACCGGCACAGATCTCCAGTGCTGTGGCGGTCTCGGGATCACGAAGGGTGATGAGGTTGGCAACGACACCTTTGACTTTGGATCGCTCAAAGCCCTTGCTAGGGTCGGTGTAGGTGAACTCCATGCCAGACAGTTGGGCAGACAGCATGCCGACCTTCTCCTGCATCTCAAACACGCTTGGCTCCAAGACACGCTTCCTGTTCTGCAGCTCTTGCTCGCGCTCGTTGTTCTTCTCCAGTGAGCTGACCTCCTTCTTGAGTTTGTCGACGTCCTTGGCGACGGTGGTGCGCTCCTCCTGCATTCTCTTGTGATCGCTGGTCTCCTTGGAGGCCAGAGCACGCTTCTGTGTCAGCTCGCCCGTCAGATGGCTCAGACGGACCTCGGCCTGCTTGTGCTCGCTGGCAGCATTGACGGCCACACGCTTGGCCTCCATCAGCTGCTCGGTGAACGAGCCGTTCTCAGTGTCTCCGCCGTCGGTGATACCGGCCGTGAAGTCGTTCAACTTCTTCTGAGTGGTCTTGAGCTTCTCGCCAAGTGCAGTGTTCTCGTCGACAATGTGCGCAATCTTGGCGCTGAGGGTCTCCTTCTCCTTCTTCTTCTGTGCGATGGAGGCCATCAGCTCGGTGCGAGCCTGGCCCAGACCTGTGATGCTGTTGCGCTCCTTTTCCAGCTCCTCGCGCTTGTGATCCCTGGACGACTGGTTCTTGAACATAGTGGTGGCCAGTCTGTCGCACTGCTCTTCCAGGCCCGAGATGTCGAGCTCCTTGTCCTTCTTCTCAAACTTCTTCAGTTGCTTCTTCAGCTCCTCGATCTCGGCCTCCAGCTCTTGCTGCTCCTGTTGCAGTTGTTTGCGATTGTTGTTGAGCTCGTCAGTCACGTTTGTCTGATTGTGCACGGTTTGATTGGCCATCGTATATTCATAAGCAATGACGAAGCGGCCAAGTCTCTCGCATTCTGTGTTACTATTCGTGAACTTTAGGTAGTCACTTCTCTCACTCTTTAGCTTCTCAAGTGTTGGTGTGATCTCCTCTGCCAGTATCTGCGATTGATTGAATGAATGAATGAGTGAGTGTGTAGGGCAAGGTCCGCTCGAGCGGCTTTACATACTCTTGTTATCTCTTCGACCTTCTTCTGTTTCTTCTCGATGGTTTGTAGAGCAGACATCTTCTTGACCTCGAACATTCTGGTGCCAGCCGCCTCTTCAATCATGGACAGGATCTCGGGCGGCTTCATGTTGATCACCTTTGTGATTCTGCCCTGCATGATGAGAAAGTGCGGATTGTTGACGTTGAGCTGCACCGAGTGAAACAGGTTCTGAACACGGTTGGCTTGGGCATTGATGCCGTTGATCAAGTATTTGTTCCTGCCACCGATGGCCACCTGACGCGTGACCGTGATCTTCTCGCAGTGTGCGTAGCCGACGGGTGACGATTCTGTGTCCGAGTTGTTGAATACGATTGACACACTGGCCTTGGTGATGCCGGCCTGGCCATGCTTATATACCAGTTCCTGTAGATTGTTTACACGCACTTGGGAGATGTTTGTAATACCCAATACAAAGCAGATTGAATCAAGTATATTTGACTTGCCACTACCATTCAGGCCTGTTATAGCGTTGAATGTTGGGTCGAATCCACTTATAACTGTACGTTTAGCATAGGATTTGAATCCATCTAATATAATCTCTTCTATATACATATTATATCTATTTGTTATCTCTCTATTTATCTGTATCAATATATATAACAAAACTAATTGTGTGTATTTGTTTGAATGATGAAGTATCTCATTTCATTCAAACCTTCAAAAAAAGGCGCCATTTTTCAAACTTTTAGAAGAACCCCAAACCCTCAACCCTCACATACTACCCTCGCCCTATTATAGGGCCGAATATATATAACACATTGTGACATTATTGAATTGAAAGATGATCACCAACATAATGATGTATCATAGATGATTGATTTATTGAACAACCTCTGGCTGATCATTGGCAACCATATCACCCAATGAACCACAGTTGTAGTTAAATGATTTACAACTTGAAGATGTAAGAGCTGTTGTTACAGTGATTGGGCATCCCTGGTTGAATCTCATCCATCCTATAATGTTAAGAATGATTGAATGAATGAATAAGTTAGTTAGAGAATGAAGTAGTTAGATTGTTGATAAGATATAGATATAACATACCTGATTTGAAACCTGGTCTCTCAAACCTCCATTCGTTCTCACCGAGATCCTTGCAGTTGTGCTTGGTCCAGAGGTAGCCGACAGCATCGGAACCACCCCAGTACTTTTCAAACCATGAGTCACAGCCAACAGTGTCCATGTAGAGGAACTCTTGGTGAACAACTTTATTGTTGTCGGCGGCCCATCCACTCAATCTATCAGATGCTCTAAACACCTGAACTTGCAAGCATGCATAAGTCAATGATTGGAGCATCAGGCATCCCAACAGTATCATTATTACAACATTTTGATTCATTATTATTATTATTAGTGTATGTATAAGTATAAGTATGACGAAGATGATTGATTGAATGAATGATTGAAGATGATGTATGGTTGGATGATGATTGATGGTGATGAACTGAAGGATAAATGATGTGAGGTTGAATAGTGATCGGTGCGATCAAGATTGGAGGTTAAGGAAATATATTACCGAGCTGGGACATTGATTGGTTCCTGTTTGTAGTAGGGTAATGAGATATTTCAATCATTTGCACCAAGGTTACAATAAGGCCGTCGCCCAGTCAATCCATTTGCATCTCCCACTACTCAATCTCGTCATCCATTTCCCCATAGCTTCGATGGTTACCTTAGCCTTGGCTCAAAACTAGACAAGACTAGACAAGACAAGATCAAGTTTGGTAATGATGATTACCTTGCAACATCATCATGATGGAAATAGTAAGAATAGAATTAACAATTTTAATTAATTTTAGAGGAATGATTGATTATAAACCAGATTGGAAAGAGACAACCCTTTCCCTGCCTTGCAACCTCTTAACAGTTGTAGTTGTTGGATGAGCATGTGGCCAAGTTTCCCTCAAGTTGGTTGAAGAAGATTGGACAGTTTCCATTGAAGTTCATCCAACCTATTATAATTATTGATTGATAGAGTATATTGAGTTTGTAAGTTTGAGAGTTTGAGCGACAACAACATTTTTGGCGAGTACTAGTTAACACTTACCAGAGCTGAAACCAGATCTTGTGAACAACCATTGGTTCTCTCCAAGGTCTCTGCAGTTGTGTCTGGTCTTGAGGTGTCCGTAGGAGCTTCCACCCCAGTCCTTCTCTTTCCATCCGTCACAAGATGGGTACGTGGTATCACCAGCCTGATTACCATTATATATAACATTACCATTATCTGCGCTGTTTACAGTCATTCCAGCTGCACTTCTAGATAAATTGATTCTAAAACATCCCAAAGAAGCTTGGAAGAATAGAGCAAGGACAACAAGTATAATTAATTTGTTCATTATTATTATATATGTATGTATGTATGTATGTAAGTATGTAAGTATGTATATGTATTATTGAATGATTTGAATGATTTGAATGATTGGTAAGTCCAATGAATGATTATATAACGAACGGGTATGATAGTACTTTGGTATGGTTAAGGCACCTCGAGATGGACAGATAGGGCTTAACCCTTCGAAGGTGAAGCCTTACCTCGTGCTGCCCACCCAACCCAACCTTGGTAATCAATATCTGACTGAGTGTACCCTCCCACATCTCTATCACGCGCGAGTTGGTCAATTATCCATTGTCCTAATATGTGTTGAATGGGGCGAGGCCATTGCATGATCTGCTTGTTAGTCTCATTGCTATTGGGTAACATCAACAAAATGATCATTGAGAATGTTGGGAGCGGGAAGACCGGGAGTGTCCAAGCACTCCACACTGTTCGCTTTGCGCAAACAAACGCCATCTTTTAAAAATTAGATACATTGTGGCCGGGCGACGTTTCAAACATTGGACAAACGAGTGTTTGATTTTGATTGAACAGGCCCACGGGGTTGTAGAATGGAGGCCTCCATTTGGTGAACCCTTGGACAACGTGCTATGAAATATCCGCGCGACACAACCTTTGTCCAATCAGATCGCACTCATAACTTCCGAACCAGTTCTTATTGATTTATTGTCATTGCGATACGGTGTGAAGACTAGTAAAGTGAAGTGAAGTGAAGTGAAGTGAAGTGATGTGATGGGGATTGGGGTGGGTGCACATGCTCGCTCCTCCTCCACTTCCCAGAACTTGATACTTCAAAGTCATGATCGTGATCTTCGCACGCTCCATCTCATCATGACGACGATATTTGTTTGAACATGAGAATTGTGTTCTGAGCCTTGTCTGAGTTCATGGATGAATGAATGAATATCTTTATTGTATGATTAACAGTTGTAGTTGGCTGATTCACAATAAGCTAGTGGACCCTCAATGTTGTTATAATATAATGGACATCCTTGATTATACTTCATCCAACCTATAATATTGATTGATTGATTTATTGAGTGATTGAGTGAATGAATGAATGAGTCAGTGGACTTGTAGTTGACCAACATAAATAAAGATATAATTAAGTATATATAACATACCTGATCTGAAACCTGGTCTCTCAAACCTCCATTCATTCTCACCTTGGTCCTTGCAGTTGTGCTTGGTCCAGAGATAGCCTGCGGCGTCTGATCCACCCCAGTACAACTCGAACCATCCTTGGTTAAGACAATTATAGTTTGGCACCATAGTTGCGTCCATTACCAAGTTGTTATTGTCCTGAGCCTTTACTGAGAAACGACTTGCAGTCCTACGTAATGATTGTCTAAGGCATCCATATGATGACCCTACCAAACATACTACTATCAATAGTATTATAACTTGTTTGTTGTTATACATTATTATTAATATTGATTGAATAATTGAATGAACTTGGGTAGGTATTTACAAATGGATTGAATGACCGACTGACTATGTCTCAGTCCTGAGGATTGGATTGGTTTGGATTTGATTGGATTGGTCGCCAACATCACGAGACTGACTATTCGGAGGATTATTTTGATTGGATGTCGGCTGCCCGACAATGGGCAACCTGCCAACAGTTGATTTCCTAAGGACTCAACCCTGGCCCAAAGTCAAAGTCCTAATATCATGACATTTTAGTTTCCTATTCATCATCCTCAAACTTTGGTATTGCATGTTGTACAAGTCAAGTCATATGAATAGATAGATAACTTGTATCTCTATCTACACATACTGCTCACTTTTGAGACGAATGCTCAACAATGTCCTTGATTCTCAACTCATTCTCTGATTTGTGTGCACACACTTTATCTCATTTTTCCATGTCTTGTTTATCATCTTCATCTTTGTTATCTCTATCATATACATACTTACATACATACATATAGATATAACATAATATTAGTTATAGAATGTCCAATCAACCAAAGCTTGAAGCATTGACATGGGAGACATTGGAGAAATGGACTTATGATAAACTACAGAAGATGCTTGGATTCCCTCCTGATGAGATTGTTACATTCATCTTTGCCACCGATAGCAACAGTGATATCGAAGCATACTTGATTGAACTATTCGGTGATTCAAAGAAGACAAAGACATTCATCGAGCAGTTGACAAAGAAGATCAACTCATTACCAAGGCGTATACGTAATGTACGTACATGATTGATTGATTGATTGAATGATTGAATGAGCATTGAATGTGATTGCTAACTTAACCGATACATTATAGAAAGTAGCTAAACCTTCAACTAATCAAAGGAATAACATGAAGCAAGCACAAGGACAACAACAACAAGTACAAAAGAAGGTTGGAGGAACAAAGACAAAGATGCATATAAACGCATTCTCTGAATTATCGATTGATACAGGCAAGCCAGGTGACCCTTGTGAGTGCCAAGCCACTAGACACAAGCTGATAACAAACTGCTTGAACTGTGGCAAGGTGATCTGTGAGCAGGAGGGCAAGGGTCCATGCAAGTTCTGTGGCACCGCCCTGTTCAGCAAGCCCCATCCCACGACCAACGCCCAGCTCCAGTCGCAGAAGGACAGAGAGCTGGCGTCGGCCGTCCAGTACAAGGACACCATTCTGGGCTACCAAAAGAACAGTGTACAGAGAACGATCGTGTTTGACGATCAGGAGGATTATTTCTCGAACGCCACCAACAAGTGGCTGTCAAGTGAGGAGCGCGCCACTATTGCCGACCAGGAGCGCGAGCATCTTCAGCGTGTGGAGGAGAAGAAGAAGTCTCGCTTCACCATTGATATCATGGGCGGCAAGATACTGCCCGCCGCAGCCAAGCCCGTTGATATCCGCGGCAAGCTCGACTTGAAGCCATCATCAACGTCAGTCACTTCAAACAGCACCAATCAACTGGAAGACCTCATATCAACGGACAAGCCATCAGTCAACTATGTCAATGATCATCTCAAGGGCAAGGTTGTTCGCAAGGATACCAACAACGACAACAACAACAATAATCAGAAGAATCAAAAGAACAAACATACATCAATAGTACAACAGTATTATGGTGTGGAGGAGGACTTGTTGGTGCTGCAGAACAAGGAGATCATTGCCAATCGATTGACATTCAAGGGTATCATGGAGGGTCTGTGGTATCGCTTTGGCAAGGCCGAGCAACGACGTACGCCACGACTCGAGGTGTACAAGAGCTACATGGATGCGATGAAGAACAAGAACTCAAACTACTTTATCGTGGCGCCAGACAACTATTCGAGCGAGGCTTCATTGGACACACCACTGCCCACCCAAACCATCCAGTTCCTCAAGCAGCTGGTAGAGTACGCACGCTCACGTAGCGTCACGATCAATGTGGCAATCACACTGCCCAAGGAGTTTGTGTTTGCCGCTCCGGGCGCAGTCACCGCGATGAGGAGTCGTCTGGACAGCTACCACGCCGTGGGCGTCAGCGAGTTCTCTGTCATCCTGCCATCATGCTTCAACGAAGCGTTGAACGCTCAGGTATGTGCGCCCAACTCTGCCACAGCCGAGACAAACACGGCCAAGGCCTACTCGGCAGCGCAGGTATCATTCATCAATGGACTGTTTGACAATGGCGGCGCGGCTAAGTTCAAAGAGATGTTTGTCTGTCCTTCATTCTTTGAGATCGACCTCAAGGTGGCGCCGACGAGACAACAGATTGAGTATTGGCGCGAGATCTCCAAGGGCCTCAACAACCGATGCCACATCCTCTTCTCCACGCCATCCGGGCGTCTGGACGACCAGCTTCTCAACAAGATACACAACATATTCGACAAGCGCAAACTGATCGCCATTGAGAAGTTCCCCTACGGCACGCGCAACCACCAGCTCTACCTCGACCCCTATCACTGCCAGTTCAGCCCCGAGGCCTCGTCGGCCAAGCTGACAGGCGTGGTCGCGTCGCCCTTTGACTGCCAGCCCTACCTCGACCAGATGACCTCGCTCATCCCCCTCACGACCTTCATTCAGTACCTTCAATCGCCCTCCACCTACTCGGAGGAGCTGACACTGCGTGCCAACCTGCTGGAGATGCTGGGCAACGAGTCGCTGGCCGAGGCATTCTCGGATGTTATCATGGCGCTGTCCAATGGCGTGCTTCAACAACTGAAACAACAACAGCTGGATGGTCAGTTCACCGCACTGGATGCTCGTGGTCGCGTATTCATGTCCACCCTCATCGACAAGTCCAAGATGCTCCTGGAACACTTTGGACCCAACTCGGCAGAGATCCAAACACAACTGCAGGACATTATCAATGTGCTCAGCAATCTGATCAAGTAAACATGTTGGATGCGATCGATCGACTCACAAACATATGATGTCTTACTTTATTATTATTACAATAGCTGTGCCTTTGTGAGGTCAGACAGACGACAAACTTGTTGGCCATCAGCTCCAAAGTTGTTTGGATCAAGCCATTGGACAAAGGCAGCGCGTATACGTGCGTTGTACTCACTGTCCAGGATTGAGTACCAGTTGGTGTCTCTGTTGCGACCTTTGTAGACGATAGCCTGGCGGAAGGTGCCCTCGAACGTGAATCCATAGCGGTCGGCAGCCTTCCTCGACAACTCGTTGAGTGAGTCGCACTTCCACTCGAAGCGACGATAGCCCAGCTGGTCAAAGGCGTACTTCATCAGCAGGAACACAGCCTCGGACGACTGGCGCGTGCGCTTGAGCAGCGCGGAGAAGACGACGGAGCCCACCTCGATCGAGCCATTCTTGGGGTCGATTCGGATGAATGCGATGGTGCCCACGGCCTTGTTCGTTTGCTTGTCGATCACGGCAAAGTGCATTGGGTCTTTGGTCACCTCAAACACAGTCTTGACGATATCATAGTATGATTCGTATGTGTTGAATGGTCCGTTTGCCATGTAGGTCCATGTCTTGTCGGGGTTTGTACCAGCTTGGAATGCTTCATAAAGCTCAACAGCATGCTGGTCTGCGATGAGAGGCTCAAGTCTACAATATTGACCATCAAGCACTATTCTCTGTGGTGACTGAGCAGGCTTCCAATCTGGCAGACCAACACCAATCTCTTGTCCATATTGATTAATAGTTGTTGTTGTTGTTGCTACAGTTGTGTTTTGAACAAGGTCTACTGACTCCATCCTTCTCTTCTCTTTCTCGTTATACTTTGTTGTTTGATATTATGTGTATTTGCTATTTTTTATTTGGTTTGAGGCCTTGATAAGTCATGAATGAATTGATTGAGTGGATTGGGTATGTGTGGACCACATGCCGACGGTCCATCAATCGTCAATCTCAACGTGTCTCATAAATAAGTATCTGACTGTCTATGAATGAAAGTTTCAACTAATTTTGGTGGATCTGGTTTTATTTGATAAACTTCAATTATGGGTCAAAGTCAAATTCTCAAGTCTTTCTGCCAACTTGCATCTTCATTCACTCTCGATTACATGTTTAATACACTTACTTGAGCGAGTCGAGTTGAATGTATTCTTACTACCTACTTTAACATACATATATTATTATCTCTTTACAACTAACTTAACTACATACATATACACATAAACAACAAAGAACAATGGTATGAGAGTACACTCAAATGTTTGAATGAATGAATGATGGATGGTGCATAATACTAATAATAAACTGGATTGTGATTGTATAGTCAGCATTTGAGGACTTGGGCGTAATGCCAGAGATTATACAGGCCGTTGAAGAACTTGATTGGATCTTGCCAACTCCAATTCAACAAGAGGCCATCCCATTGATCCTGGGTGGAGGTGATGTCTTGGCCGTATGTACTCAACTCAATGATGATCATGACAATGAGCTCACCTTACTAACGCATTCACACACGGATGAACAATAATGAACGAGTAGGCAGCAGAGACAGGATCAGGAAAGACAGGCGCCTTTGCATTACCAATCTTACAGATCACTTATGAGTTTATAAACAATGTTGCTACGGTTCCATCGGATGCTGCAGCGATTGGTGCCACAGAGACTGATACAATGGATAGTGGTGACAGCGATAAGAATACTATAACATGGAGTGTGAATGATCGTGATAATGATATGTCAATCGATGGCTTGGTGTGTCAGTCACGTGCACCAGACTGGGCAGGCTGTCGAACCAACCTGGGCATCACATCTGGCAAATACTATTACGAGGCAACAGTGCGTGATGAGGGACTCTGTCGTGTTGGCTGGGCCATGAAGAAGGCTTCGCGATCAATTGGCACAGACAAGTTCTCATGGGGCTATGGTGGCACGGGCAAGCGATCACACATGGGCAAGTTTGAGAACTATGGCCAGGCATACGGCAACAACGACACGATCGGCTGCTACATCGACATTGACGAGGGTATCGTCGGCTTCACCAAGAATGGACAGGACTTTGGCCAGGCATTCCAGATGAGTGTGGCAAAGGGCACTGTCTTCTACCCTGCCGTCCTGCTCAAGAATGCCGAGATGTCATTCAGTTTCACCACAATGAAGCATCAACTCAAGGGCTTCAAACCAATCTGCGAGGCTGATCTCGTGAAGGAGGAGTCGGCAGCGCCTGCCGATAACAAGCAGCAAGCACCCGGCGCAGCCGGCAAAGGAGGCAAGAGTGGCAAGGGAGCAAAGAAGAACGCATCCGCATCAGACTCATCATCAACAAGCACAGCCAACACAATAAGGAAGCCACTATCATTGATCATTGAACCAACCCGCGAGTTGGCCGATCAGACATTCTCAGCGATTCTCAACTTTACCAAATACCTGACGCATCCAAAGATTGAAGCATTGCTGTGTCTTGGAGGCGAGAAGAATGTCAAGGATCTGAAGCGCGATGCATGTGACATTGTTGTGGGCACACCAGGCATCCTGGAGAAGTTGATCAAGGAGGAGCAGCTGGACCTGTCACACATCAGATTCTTTGTGTTGGATGAGGCCGACCATCTCATCAAGGATCATCTGCCCATCCTCAACTACATCTACAATCGACTACCCAAGGCCAACCTCCAAGTCCTCTTCTTCTCCGCCACCCTACACTCGAACGATGTCGTTCGCTTCTCTGAACAGATCACACGCACGCCAACCTGGGTCGACCTCAAGGGCAAGGACTTCATACCTGATGTAAGTCAATGATTGATCACATGGAATCATCCCATACCTAACTTACTCAATCAATCAAACATAGTTGATCACTCATTCATATGTAACAGCCGATCCAGAGAAGTATGACACACTTTGGAGGACACCACAACATAGATACAACACTGATGGCATACATAACAATGATGTTAAGCACTTGGATCGTCTGAAGACTGATGAGCAGAAGTCACAGGCTGTAAAGATGTTGAAGCCACACTTGCTGGTCAAGTGTATTCGTGCATTCAAGATGGACCAAGCACTTATCTTTGCCAGGACAAGACAGGACTGTGACAACTTGCAGAGCTTCCTAATGGAGTGCGGTGGAGGTCGCAGTGTACTGGAGAATGAATTCTCATGTGTATGTCTACACGGTGACAAGGGTACCCAGCTGAGAAAGGAGAACCTCGAGAAGTTCAAGCAAGGCGATGTTAAGTTCTTAATCTGCACTGATGTGGCCGCCAGAGGAATCGATGTACAAGGTTTACCATTTGTAATTAGTAAGTAGTGACGCGTCACTAGTGGCATGGCATGGCGTGGCGTGGCATGGCGCAATCAATCAATCAAACACTAACAACAATCAATCAAACAGACTACACACTCCCAGACTCGTTTGAGGACTATATACACAGAGTTGGAAGAGTAGGAAGAGCGGACAGGATAGGACTGGCAATCTCGATTGTGTCAGCGCACCAGGAGAAGGTGTGGTTCCACACTTGTCGCGAGAAGGGCAGAGGTTGCCATGATACTAGGATCACAAAGGAGGGCGGGTGCGCCATATGGTACGACGAGCCAGAGCTCTTTAAGCACATTGCCGAGACCCTGTCACCACTGGAGTTGGACGATAACTTTAGTCTGGGCGAGGATTCGATCAAGAACTTTGGACAGTTTGCCAAGGACAAGGCCAATGCACTTGGCTATCAGGCACACACCGAGCATCTACGTACAAGAGTTGACCAGCTGGCAGCATTGGAGGAGAGGATTCAACGTGACTTCCTAACGCTACCCAGTAAGATCAAGCAGCAAACTTCAATACTTCCAACTCCAATGGCAACATAAACAAGTTTAGATTTAGCAACTCATCCTTGTTTAATTAATTTAATTTCCAAACAAGGACAATCAGATCATCCTCAATATTGCAAGCCCTACCTGGTTCGTGGCACTCGACCACAACACTGCAGCTAGAGTCCGTAATGGCAGGGCAAAAATGGATGACCATCCTTTGATCACGACGCAAGAAATCAGTCTCCACCCAACTTCCCAAAGACCCTAGGCATTCTTAATGCGCTCACAATGTCAAAGACAAAAGCCCTCCTAAACTTCTAAGGGTGGAAGTGCATTACCATGCCCTACTGAATGAACTTAGAGAGAATCTGGCGATCTTCATTGGTTTGACCTTGTCCGATCGAAAGACCCTATTCTTGAGGACCAAAATAATATCATTATTATTATTATCCTATAAAATTATTATATTTAACAACTTAGAATTGATCAAATGGTTTTTGAAGAGATATTTTCTTGAAAGTAATTGATCAAAATATCTCATATTTCTTTGAATCAATCAACATCTCTGATCATCTTTGGAGCCAAACAGCATCATTAGGTATAACAAACTAACAATGAATAGTAGTAGAGATACATCAATATTTAAAGTACTCACCAATAGGGAGTTGGTCAGGATCATTATTATGACTTCAAGTAGGTCTATATATTCATTGTCTTACTTGAATGCCAGGATACATAAAGCCAGCGGTGGATCACTCACGCTAAAGATCACTGATCTTAACAACAACAACAACTCCAATTATGAATCCACTAACAACACCAAGAGTTTGTTTCGATCAAAGTTCAATCATTGGACAGACCCTTTAATCATTGTTCGTCACAAACATTTTGGATTGATAGACTATCGACTCAAACATGGACTGTTCCTGGACACCGACTTCACATCACCATATGTAATGGTTAGCATATGTAACAATCGGTCAATGCCAGATTCTACATTCTTGGCATTGTACAACAACTTCCGACTTCACTTCACCGATCGCCATCTCTTGGAGTATGCAGTAAAGAATGGCAACATGTTGATGGTTCAGACATTCCTCCATCAGACACATCCAGTGCAGTTCAAGCGTGGTGGCCATCAGTTGTTGAAGGATGCCGTCTCAAACGGATCATTCGAGGTATTCAAGTATCTGATTGATTCCGGTCTGTTTGACAATCAGTGGTTGGTCGATGGCTATTCAAACATAGCATATAATGTCTTTAACTCAACTCCCAGCATAGTTCGCATGGTACTTGACCCAAACAACTTCCCCAAAGACCTTGTCGACAAGTTAATATCACTCATTCCCGTCTACGTCAACAATATATTTGACATGAATGATGAGAGTCTTGTAATAGAGTTGATGCCAAGTGAGCTACCAGCATTCAAATCACATCAGCAGCAACGCATCACAGCTCCAGCTCCTGCTCATAACGATCCAAATGCCTACGAACTGCCATTTGCTCCACATGATGAGTTCTTCATCAGGCTTTCAAGGGAGCTCATCGCCAAGTCGATGAACTCTGCTCAATCAATCCTTGCCAGGATGGATGATAATGATTCAAGACTTGATGGGATCACACTCACCGACTCAATGAGTGATGAGGACAGGCTTCAATATGGCTGTGTGCGAGAGTATCTGCGCAAGTATGAACACCCATATCAACTCATGCGCCACTATCTCCCCTTTGGAGACTGCATGCTCATTCCTTACTTTATGGATGTGCTCTATCACACGATAGATGGCAAAACCATCGAGTCATACACATTGGTGATCAGCAGGATGTTGGCTGATATTGTAGAGGTTGGAACGGCCACCCAAACACGTATAGTCTACGAACATCTTGATGCCATACTATTGGAGCACTACCCTGAGCAGTCATACAAGACCAACGACCAATATATCAGAGATAGACTGTTTGGTGGTGAGCTGTACCACTCATTCATCATTTCAAAGAACAGTGTCAAGAGCTTGGAGGTCGTCAAATACCTCAACAGCATCAAGGCCATTCAGAAGAGCACATTGGTGGGACACTGGACAATCTGGGACTCGGAGTACACTGGCACACTACCAATGTTGGAGTTCCTCATCTCGCAAGACAACATTATATTCCCATCAAGTCTGTTGGTAAAGATGAGGTTCAAGGTGTTCAAACCATCATGGCTGGAGTTGGTGCTCAAGAACAAACCGGATATGATTGGACCAGAGATGTCGATGGTCATGGCCAACTTGGCGGCGGCAAGTGGTCGTCTTGACATCCTGAATTTATTGTTGGAGTATAAAATGGATACTCTCAAAGAGCATTCCAATCACATATTGGTATACTCATTAATGTTTACAAGTCCTCGATTTGATGTGATCAAGTTTTTGGTTGAACAAAGACAATTGGCAACATTCTCAACAAATATATTATGGAGGATTATTGGACTCCTTGGCAATGTTGCATTGTTGGATTATTCTTTGGATCATTGTGGTGATACTTTGGATGACTATCAAGAGACAAGACAGCAGTTTATACTAGATATGTTGGAGACAGCAGTGGAGCACAACCAAACTGATTTTATCAAACATTTCTACAACATATCGGAGAATGCACATAACTTGGAAACACCAATAGTATTCAATCATCGTCAAGCTGTGATCAATGGCAATGCTGAGCTGTTGGATGTATTATGTACATTCAATCAATTGAATAACTTTCCAAATAGTAGAGTCGATGGATTGATCAATCAATCAATCAAATCAGGCTCTATTCCAACATTGAGATGTGTGATCAAGCATCTGGAAGATATTGCCGAGCAATTGGATAGGATCAAGAAGGTTGTAATACCAAAGCACATCAAAGATTTGATCAACAAGTGTGATGTGGATATGTTACAATACCTATTTGACATTGGTGCAACTTTCAAGTTGACTGGACTTGGCAAGAAATATCTTTCAAACACATCAATCAAGTCAATAATTGATAAATATCAACAACAAATGAAAACTCCATCTTCAACGTCATCAAAGAATAACAAGAAGAGAAAGGATAGTGACCAAGAATCACAAGAGTTAGTGGAACCAGAAAAGGAGAATATTCAAAAAAAGACCAAAAAGACGAAATAAATAGAAAGGGAAACAAACAAAAACTAAAACTAACATCAATAGTAGAGAGACAAACATAAAAGCATCCTCAAGGAGAACAGAGAATGGTGATATCCTATTCCAACTTTGAAAGAATATATATATGGTCAATATAAATAAAAGAATGATCAACCTGTTTTAATTAATTGAAAGTGGGAGTTCAACGAATCAATAGATTGGAATTGTAATAAACAACATCTGGAAAATCGTTGAATCAAAAAATTACTGAATTGAGTCCTGGAAATATCTAAATCCTAAAAAGATTGAGATTAAGATATACAAGTTGGAAAATATAAATAAGGAAAAAGGAGAAAATACAGATAACTTGATTCGTTTTATAATATATGTAGATAAATATTTATTAGATAATAATACCAATGAACAAAATATTTGTATTATTTGTATTTGTAGTATTGTTCCAAGTATCCTTTGGATGTTTGAAGACTACAATATCTAGATATGGAGGACCTGGTAAGTCCGTATTGTCTGTAGATTCAGTTGACAATGGTCAGACGATTGTCTTTGACAATGATTCATTGATGGACTCAACTAGTTGCTCAGGATGGGTTATGTATTCCTGGGGCGGTTCACCAGACATTGGCCAACTCTGGACCAGACATAACTGTCAGAATGTTGGAGAGAATGAATTCTTTTTCAGACGTCCAGGATTCGACTCTGGTAAGTACTTACACTGATTATCAATCATCCAAGTTTTATCACTTGACTAATAAAAGTATGTTAACATGGACATATATATAGGTTGGCTTACATTCAACCAAGGTTGTCCAATCACAATCGATAATGGATACAAACATGCTATTTGTCATTCCGAGAACTATAGTTGTTAAGCTAATCAATCAACATTGTATAAAGACTATCTTGTCAATCAATCAACGGGATTATGAATACACTGGATAAAGAGGTTCATTCGAATGATAAGATTGATTGATGGGAGGCATCGATCCTAAGGATGATGGATGTTGGATAATGGAGAGTAAGAGTTGAATGAATGTACGACGTCGAGTTTGTTTGAGTTGGAGTTGGAGTTGGATGATGCCGTTGTCTGAGTTTGAGTGTGTATACAACAACCTATTATGCTGTTGCTGTTGCTAGTTGTAAGGTGCTGCTGAGTTTGTGCAGGATTTGAACTTGTTGATCGGCTGGCAGCATCATCAGGGCATTCCAAACCTGATCGATTTCAACGATACTGGTCTTGACAAACGTGAGGTAGTAAACATAAACAAACAGGCCCATGATGAATTGGCAGTCGGTTCTGTCTGTGATTCCACCATGTCCTGGGATGATTGAGTCAAAGTCCTAAAAAAGTGATTGATCGATTGATTGATTGATTGAGTGAGTGGATGAGCGAGTGAGGGTGTTTGAATGATTGGACATACCTTGATCTTGTAAGCTCTCTTGATTCCTGATGCAAAGAATCCACCGAATGGTGCAATGAGAGAACCAAACAATGCCAAGACGAATGCATGCAAGTGCATTGGGATGAATGTGACCGATGTAAGTTGGAGTCCAACATATTTCGCGAGGATGTATGATAGTTCCACTGGCAACACATATTCCTTTGGCACAAACACTGGATCAGTTGGACAATCCAATGTATCCATGAAGCCTGTGTCACCCTTTGGGCAAGTGACCCATTTGAATTGCATGAGGAAGGAGTTAAACTGTATGATTGATTCATTGATTGAGTGAGTGTTAGAAGTCATGCAATCAATGGTCCATGATCATTCATTCAAACATACCAAGTAGGCAAAGATGATTGTCCAGAATGTGGCGCCAATGAAGCCCTCCCATGTCTTGTTTGGTGAGATCTTCATCAAAGGTCTTTGAATGAACCTGAATGATTGATTGATTGAATTTGTGTTAGGATGGGGCTATGATGAGATGATGGACTCGCTAGAGAAGAGAGATATACTTACTTCCTTCCAAAAAAGAAACCATTCAAGTATGCAAAGATATCATTGCAGACGATGATTGAAACGGGTAGGATGAACCAGATAAGACCCATGTAGATGTTGGCGATGATAAAGTTGGACTGGACGACGACCATCATGAGGGTCATGAGAGTCCAGGTGAACTGCGAGAACTGGTAGCGATAGACGCCCTTCCTCAGCGTCACGATGAATGAGACAAAGCCAATGCAGTACAGCAGGAACGAGTGCCACATGTGGAAGTGAACAAAGTGGTTGAAGATGTCGGGCCAGCGCGTGGCCAGGCTGACCAGGATGGGCTTGGCGTAGAAGAAGAAGAAGGCCGACAGCAAGAAGTACCAGGCCAGCGTGCGGAAGCGCGGGATCTTCTTCTCCTTGGCTTCGATGTAGCGCAGCGACACCATCTCCTTGAAGACCAGCAGCTGCAGCGCAATGACAAAGAGCGAGACGATCGCGTGGTCGGTCGAGAGCACCACGGCAAAGAAGGAGATCATGCAGGCGCCCATCACCGAGCGCACTGCCAGCTTCTTGTATCTGGATTCGGGGGGGTCTGTTGGCTTGGCATTGTCAGCCGAGTTGTTGTTGGTAGTCGTTGCGCCCTGTTCATCGTCCGATGAAGATTCGTCCTTGCTCGAGTCGTAATCATCAGTCTGCTTTGCCTTCTTCAATGCTTTATTCGAAGGTGGTGATGTTGGTTGAGGTGAGCCTACACCAGTAGTAGTACTACCTCTATTTCTAATTGTTGTATTCGATTGCATCTCTTATATTTATATATGTATATATATATTAATATATTTGATTGAGTGATTGTTGTACTACTAACTAGCAAGCAAGTTATTAATTATCGCTCTCTTTATCTGTCTGTCTTATCTGTTTGTTTTATATTATACACTAACTGTATCCTTTCTATCTCTCTATCTCTTCTACACTTATAATATTGAATATGAATGAATGAATGAATAATGAATGACTCACTACTGGGTACAAATAAATGAAGAGAGAGAAAGACAAGTTCACCGCATAACCAACAAACACACACACACAAGCTGCAAACTATCTCTATCGAATTGATTTCGAAAAAGATGACCATCTATGGTTGCGAAGACAAACAGGCTTCCAATTTGGCTCACCACACACACACACTAAACATGATGATCTCGGGACTTGAATCCCTTTATTCTTTGAACTTTGTGTGTGTTCGGCTAACTCTACACATATTAAATGTCAATGACACTGACACTGACATCGATGTGGCAGTCACTGACTCGGTTATCAGCCACATATGCAAGCCTTACAACAAAGAAATCGACACATCAAAATTGTAAAGTCAGACTAATCTTGACATTTATGATAAATGTTGACAACGGAGTTTCTCATCAAGATAGATCTATCCAGTCACTATATATTGCTACAAACTTGTCAATATCTTCGTCTATCAAGGTCAATTATCTGATGGTCAACAAAGAATGAAACATCGACTTGGGAGTTTGAGACCAAAAAGACCCAAAAACATCATATTTCTTTTATTTTGCAAAAATCTAATCTTGATCGATTCATCATGATGGACTATGGGCAACTCAATCCATCCAATACAATCACATTCATTCATCTTCGTTTAACAATATTCATTCATTCATTCGTATCATATACACATATATATATTCAAAAGATCTTTGTTGTATTATTATTAATTATTTATAAATATATTTTGTAAAACAATGAGCCAGAACCCATCACAGCAGACAGGCTCAGGCTACCCCGCCTATGGCTCAGCACAGTATGGTCAGCAGCCACCAGGTCAATACCCACCACCACAAGGTTATGGTGCATATGGTCAACAACCCCAACAACCTGGTCAATATGGTCAATACCCACCACAACAACCTGCTGCTCACGGTCAATACGGTCAGCCACAACCTGGCCAATACGGCCAGCCACAGCCTGCTGCACCCGGCCAATACGGACAACCAGCACCCGGTCAATACGGACAACCACAGCCTGGCCAATACGGACAGCCAGCTCCTGGTCAGTATGGACAACCACAGGCTGGTCAATATGGCCAACCACCAGCTGCTCCCGGTCAATATGGTCAACCACAGCCTGGACAATACGGACAACCACAACCCGGCCAATATGGCCAACCACCAGCGGGTGCGCCAGGTCAATATGGCCAGCCACCAGCTGCTCCAGGCCAATATGGCCAGCCTCCAGCTGCTGCTCCAGGCCAATATGGCCAGCCTCCAGCTGCAGGACAATACCCACCACCTGCTGGTGCAGCACCAGGTCAACCACCAGCATCAAGTCAATATGGCCAGCCTCCAGCTGCCGCTCCAGGTCAATATGGCCAACCAGCTGCTGCTCCCGGTCAATATGGTCAGCCTCCAGCTGGAGGACAATACCCTCCAGCAGGCACAGCACCAGGTCAACCACCAGCATCAAGCCAATACGGAAAGCCACCAGCAACTACAGCCCCTGGTCAATATGGACAGCCACTAGCAGCTGGCGCACCAGGCCAATATGGCCAACCACCTGTTGCAGGTCAATACCCTCCATCGACAACCACTCCAGGTCAGCCAGGACAATACCCACCACCCGCTGGACAACAACCATACGGTGCTGCTCCAGGCCAGCCAGGTCAATACCCACCACCTACTGGCGCACCTCCAGGTCAATATCCACCACCAGCCGGACAACCATACGGTGCTGCTCCAAGTCAGCCAGGCCAGTACCCACCACCAACTGGCGCACCTCCAGGTCAATACCCACCACAAGCCGGACAACCACCATATGGTGCTGCTCCAGGCCAGCCAGGTCAATACCCACCACCCGCAGGCCAACCATACGGTGCACCAGGTCAGCCAGGCCAATATCCACCCGCCGGTCAGCCCTACGGAGCTGCCCCAATGCCAGGCCAGCCAGGCCAGTACCCACCACCAACTGGCGCACCTCCAGGTCAATACCCACCTCCAACTGGCGCACCTCCAGGACAATACCCTCCATATGGTCAGCCTCCCGCAGCAGTCCCAGGCCAGTACCCTCCCGCCGGTGCACCCCCAATGGCCGGTCAATACGGCGCACCACCAGCAGCAGTCCCAGGAATGCCTGTGCCAATGACTTGCTCGCCTGTCATGGCCGGCGCGCCAATGATGGCAGGAGGTGCCGCTGGCATGTCCGGCGTCAAGTTCTTTGATCACGTCAGGAACAAGTTGCACAGAGACTACACATTGATCATTGACAAGAGTGGCAGTATGGCTGGTTCCCTCTGGACTCAGGCCGCCGTCGCCGTGTCCAAGATTGCCCCATTCGCCTGCCAGGCCGACGCCGATGGAATCACTGTGTACTTCTTCTCGTCGCCCTCGCCTCGCCACCCCAAGTACGAGAATGTTCGCGACGCCAACACTGTCAATGGACTTTTCCAGCGCGAGCGTGCCAGTGGCACAACCGATCTCTATGGTGTGTTGAACCAGGCCATCGAGGACCACTTCATCAAGGGCAACAGACCAGAGACCATCCTTGTGATCACTGATGGCACACCAAATGACGCCACAGCCGTACAGAGACTGTTGATAAACACTGCCAACAGGATAACACGCGACGAGGATCTTTCGATATCATTCGTCCAGATTGGACGTGATCGCAGCGCAACCACATTCCTCAAGACATTGGATGACTACCTCACCTCACAGGGTGCTCGCTTCGACATTGTCGACACCCTGACCATGGATGAGATGCACAACATGTCCTTCGATCAGATCATTGCCAAGTCAATCGCCGATTAATTAAAAACCTACATACCCTTTACACTTTATAAGGGACAACCATTCATTCATTCTTACCCTCGCTCTCGACCTCGCCCTAACGTACATTGTGACAGACATCTAACGTTTATTGAACGACATTACTTTTGTTGGTACTTGGCCCTCAGCTGCTTGGCAACCTCGACCATGTTGGCAAGTGCAGCCTTGGTCTCATTCCATCCACGTGTCTTGAGTCCACAGTCTGGGTTGACCCAGATCAACTCCAATGGGATGTACTTGAGCATCTGTTGAACACGCTCAGACATCTCGTCAACTGTTGGTATTCTTGGGCTGTGGATATCGTACAGGCCTGGTCCAATCTCGTTGGCATAGCCATACTGCTCAAAGGCACGTAGCAGCTTCAGGTCGGACTTGGAGTTCTCGATGGTAAGCACGTCGGCATCCATGCGCTGGATCGATGTGAACATGTCGTTGAAGTCACTGTAGCACATGTGTGAGTGGATCTGAGTGTCGTCACGCACGCCACACGAAGCAAGCAAGAACGAGTCGATGGCCCATCTGAAGTAGTCGTCCCAGTCAGCAATGCGCAGGGGCAGGCCTTCACGAACGGCAGCCTCGTCAATCTGGATGCAGGCAATGCCTGCGCGCTCCAAGTCTAGCACCTCATCACGGATGGCCAGACCAATCTGGAAGCAGGTCTGTGAGCGGGGCTGGTCATCACGAACGAACGACCATTGCAGGATGGTGACGGGACCGGTGAGCATGCCCTTCATTGGCAGCTTGGTGAGCGACTGTGCGTAGGTGGAGTAGGCAACGGTCATGGGGTGTGGACGCGAGACATCACCAAAGATGATGGGTGGCTTGACGCAACGACTGCCGTACGACTGGACCCAGCCGAACGAGGTGAACACGTAGCCGTCGAGGTGCTCACCAAAGTACTCGACCATGTCTGTGCGCTCGAACTCTCCGTGCACAAGGATGTCCAAGCCACACTGCTCCTGGAACTGGATGCACTTCTTGGTCTCCTCGTTGATGAACTCGTCGTAGGCACTCTGGGTCATCTTGCCAGACTTGAGTTGGTTGCGTGCCAGACGAACCTCACGAGTCTGTGGGAACGAGCCGATGGTCGTTGTTGGGAACAGGTCGGGCAGGGTGGTCAGACGGGCGCGCTGGGCGATGCGGCGCTGTGGGTACTTGGTCGAACGAGTGAACATATCTGGGGTGAGGTTGGCAACACGTTGCTTGACGGCATCGTTGTGGATCAGTGGCGAGACTGAACGGCGTTGGATCGAGGCTTGGTTGGCCTCGTATTTAGCGAGGAGGTTGGCGTCCTTGGCCAGGTCAAACTCCGCGTTGGTGGCAGCGGTGAGGAACACGATCTCGTCCAACTTCTCGACGGCAAAGGCCAGCCAGTCAAGCACCTCAGTGCGGACCTTTCCGGCCTCACGTTTCAACGAGTGTGGTGAGTGGAGCAACGAGCATGATGGTCCAATGAGGACACGGTCATTTCCAAGCACAGCAACGACCTCCTTAATAATGGCCACCTTGGCCTTGTAGTCGGACTTCCAGATGTTTCTTCCATCGATCACACCTTTTAGTTGATTGATTGAATGAATGATCGAGTTAGATATTGAGTGATGGGCGTGATTGAATGAGTGATGAGATACATACCAATGGAGAGCGACCATGTGGCAGGGAGGTCCTTGGCAATGCTGAGGACTTGGTCGTGGGTACCACGAACGCAGTCGATGTGGAGGGAGTTGATGGGCAGGGTCTTGAGGAGGGCAAAGTTCTCACGGAGTTCACCAAAGTAGGTGGTCAACTGCAACTTGATAGATGGGCATGCTTGGCGGATACGGTTGTACGAGGTCTCAAGAGCCTTGAGCAGCTGTTCACGGTGCACCTCACTGTCCTTGATCAAGTCCAGACAGAGGATGGGCTCATCGAATTGGATGTGTTGGACACCGGCCGCGGCCAACTGCTGGGCGAGCTGCTCGTAGAGTGGCAGCAACTTGTCCAAATGGACAATGCTGTCGAAGCGTGTCTTGTATGGTGTGGCATGGTCTCCGGACTTGCCAAGCAACAGGAATGTCAGTGGACCGAGCAGGACGGGTCTGGTCTCGATGCCCAACTGCTTGGCCTCAAGGTACTCGCGTAGTGGCTTGGGGTGTGGGGCGAGGGCAAACTGCTGGTCATGGGCAAACTCTGGCACGATGTTGTGATAGTTGGTGTCGAACCATTTCTTCATCTCCATCGAGCTCACGTCGATCTTGGTGTTACAATCAACGTGGGCAGAACCGAATGCGGTACCGGCGGTTGAGGACGAGGCTTCAGCGGCAGCCTTGGCAGTCTGGTAGCCGCGGCCCATGGCAAAGTAGGTCTTTAGGCCGTGGATGGCTGGGTCGTCTTTGGCGGTGAGGGCTGGCTCCGAGTCAACGACCACTTTGTAGCGAGGTGGGATGGCACCAAACAACAAGAGATGGTCGAGGATCTGGTCGTAGAAGGAGAAGTCGTTGCTGGGGATCAGGGTGATGCCGGCATCACGCTGGAGCTTCCAATGGATGGCGCGCAGCTCCTTGGACTGTGCCAGCAACTCGTGGACATCAAGCTTGCCCTCCCAATAAGTCTCCACTAATTTCTTCAACTCACGGTTCTCTCCCATGCGTGGGAAGCCTAGATTGGTAGCGGTGGCTGGCATTATTTATATTCTAATTATTATTATTATTTGTTTGAGGTAAGTAGAGGTAGGTTGGTTAAAGAATGATCCAGAATGCAAGCCAAATGATGTCCAATTTATAGCCATCGTCCCTCACTCTACCTTCCACATTCCTACCTAAATGCTCTTCCTCGTGCACGCAAGTCAGAGCTTGCAAAGACTGGCCTGTCCAGCCTAGCGACACACATCTAACCCATTAAGTACCACCTAACCTAACTTGTTGACAACAATATCCAATGACTATATAAACACAACATGCGATCGAGTTGTGGCCAGGTCAGGGGCAACGGAGCCAAGCCAAACTAACGGTCACACACTCTCTTGAACTTGAACTGAACTGAAATGAACAGAACTCGAGCTCCAAGCTCAAGAATGAGTGAGTGATAGAGTGAATTAGTTAATAAGACATTGATTGGATCGGGTAGACAACGGGCCGCCAAAGCCAGGGAGGGCACCCTATGCGCCACACTTGAGTGATTGATTGATTGATAGATTGAATGACTGCCGCTGTCTCTGGTTGATTGATTGAATGAAAGAATGATGACCCGTGATGTTCCAAATTTGGAAGCCTCGCGGATAGCAGTACCACCCTGTTTCATTCACTGATCGTGGCATGGACGATGGAATGGTCGCAGAACTAAAGAGTTAGAGAGAGAGCAAGTTGACCAATGCATGCAGCCATGAGGGTGAGATGAATGATGATGCCAATGTACATTATGTTGGAGGCTGGCTAAGCTAAAGTGATAAGATAAGAGATGAATGACGCCGGCGGGGTAGATAGGCAGGTAGGCTAATGTAATGGCAGTGGAGGATGGGTAGGAAGGGTGAGTCACAAGTGGTTCCCAGATTGAGTGGCCCAACGCGATGTATCTCCTCGCTTCAAAGATAAAGTAAAGTTAAAACAGATATTTATGTTTATGTTTATGTTTGGGAACGTGTACAAACCTTGTGTTTATTGTTGTTTGTGTATGTTGTTGTGCACTCGCACCCGTGAACGACTTGACAGAGTGATGTGCATTTGAAATCATTTGTAGTTGTTTCTCTAATAGAGATAATAACAATAAACAAATACATATATTCTCTTTACATACATTCATTACTCTCCTAAATCCATCTTGTTAGTTAGTTAGTCTAGTTAGTTAGTACAATGGTTCGTTAGTCTGGTTAGTCTGTTAGTTAGTTAGTTAGTCTGTTAGTTGGTAGCAGCTCAAGTGTTTGTTGATGTCTCTTACTCACCATGTTGAATATCAAATGCTTGCCACCATGATACTGTTGCAGACATAGGTATTATCGATCACAATTAACAACAACAACAACAACATTTCAAAATGATCCCTCTTGAATCAATGCGACACAACAAAGATTGGCTTGTCTTGCGAGGTTAAACCTTACTCAATGTCAGACAGAGGGAATGAATGAGAAGAAATTAGACGATGCGAATTGTCGAATGATCGAATGATCGAATGAACGAATGAATGAATGACGAATGAACGAACGAATGAATGAATGAATGACGAATTAACGAATGAATGAATGAATCAATGTATGTAGAATGAACGAATGAAGGAATGAATGAAGTTAACGAGCGAATTGTAATAGTAGATGTTTGATGAGTCCCTTTAGTCTACTCATTCAATATCAAGCTTGCGACAAGACTAATCACAAATTAGAGAAAGACAGACAGAGTTGACAGACAAACAGACAGATTTGACAGACAGGGCAGACAGACAGCGAGAATGATTTTTGTACTTGCAAGGTTGAGGCGAAAACTACCAGATGACCTGTAATGATCACTAGTAACATCGTTCGAGCTGCGTTTATCAACAGTCGAGGTGCGCCTTTCACACAAGTCCCAGTGTGTGCATCTCCAATGTTGACAAACGCAGTATTCACCTCTCATTCTCACAGAGAATCGAACGATCTTGTTGGTTGGTTGGTTGAACAAAGTTGGCATCACATGATCGGTTCAAAGCTCAACTTCAAAGATTTTATTATTGTGCAGAAGGAACATGGAATTTGATTGATTGATGGATCACACACATTCTTGATGGTGTGATCACAATAACTACAATCGATCACTTTCAACACAACATAACATATCGATCAGATCAATCAAAGAGATATATATTTTATGGATGACCTACCAACGATCGTACTAAAAGTGATCATTGGTCACGTTGACAGTGTATTGGATGCAGCTTGTTTGTGTTTGACAAACAAGAGACTATTCTCGATATTGTCCTCGCTACAGATACCAACACTGGCACTCAGCAAGACACATCTTGAAATCAACAATGTTATTGATTATGAACATAATCCGGCATGCTTCGAATCACAACAACAACAACAACTGACATTTGGTCAATCATGGAATCAACAACTCCAGCCTGGATGCCTGCCCCTGATGATAACCTCCATATCCTTTGGCGACCATTACAATCAACCTCTTCCATCGATGGCCATCAATATACTACCGCGATCACTACTCACTCTCACGTTTGGCGAAGACTTTAATCAGCCCATCGAGAAGGATATTCTGCCCCAGTCACTCACCAGTCTCTCATTTGGCAATAGGTATGACAGAGCTATTGCGAAAGATGTGCTACCTCAATCACTGCTCACTCTGGACATGGGCAATGAGTTTGACCAGCCTCTTGCCCTCCCCCCAGCCCTCACATGGCTGGACCTGGGTGGGTTCTTTAATGAACCCTACGACAGTCTCAAGCTATCGACTTTGAGCGCACTGGGCACACTCATTCTGCCAGATCACACATCTCAGAACCTCTACATTGGAATGTTTCCAAACAGTCTAACATCGTTAATTCTTGGATTTTACTTTGATAGCCCGCTCAAGTCTGGTGTGCTGCCCCAATCGCTCACGGAACTAGTGATACTTGGGGAGTACACGAGCCATTTGATCAAGGCAGGCACACTCCCATCATCATTGCGCACACTCAAGTCGTCGATATATCGTCCATCATCACTCCAGCTTGAGGCAGGCAGTCTCCCAGCCTCACTCACTTCACTAAGTTCCGTCAATAGAAGTGGATTGCCACTACTTCCCTCTGGCCTCAAGACACTGGTCCTTTGCGAAGGCGATGGTGATGAGGATGACAATGGCATGGTCATCAAGCCAGGCATGCTGCCGCCCTCGTTGACCGAGTTGGACATCGTAGAGAATACACAGGCTTGCGATATTGAGGTGGGCGCGTTGCCTCGCACACTCAAGAGTCTGAGGATGAGGCTTGGATTTCGAAGTCCACTCATACCTGGTGTGATCCCAGACTCACTCACAGAGCTTACACTTGGCACGAGACATGATGGTGACGTCGTACCCGGTGTGCTACCTCAATCATTGACTTCACTACACATTAGACAACCGCTAAATGATTATAAGATCGATCAATATCCTAGTGCACTCAAACATTTAACATTGAGTAATCATCAATTGGACATGGAAAGCATGCCTGCCACCCTGGCCACACTCACCATCGACTCGGTTTACAACATATCATGGATCAAAGTGAAGCCAAATGACAGCAAACTCAATCATCTGGAATTGGTGTTGGTGATGGGATATAAGCATTTATCGACCATTCGTGCACTCAAGGACATTAGATTATTGATCAAGACTGTTCCCAATGTGAATACATTTCATCTCAAGAAATTGATGGTTGGCAGATCCAACCATGATGTTTACATTCGCAAGTTGAATGACATCACCTCAATATGTACAATTACCAAACCATCACATTATGTACAACAATCAAACATCATCACCTATATCAATATCATTACCATGGACAATCATCCAATTAATTAAAAATTAATATTTACATTTATGGTTTATGGAGGTTTGATTCATCCAAATTGTCACGCGCCAAAATTTGAAAATTTGAATTTGAAACCTTTTACAACAGTTAAACAACGCTTGGAATGATTTGGTCGCATGAGTGAGAGTGAGTACAGCCCATGTGCCAAAGTAAAAGATTGTATTGAGTTAATATATTATACTTTCACAAACAAACAAACAGAGAAAGAGTTAACCAAGTTGAAGGTTGAATGAGTGAGTGATTGAGCGAGCGACTTAGAATCAGATACAGTTACAGATACATACATACATACATATAATAGTTAGATAGATAGATAGATAGATATAGAATATATAGGATGGGATCACTAGCAGTCGTTCAACAGTTGCATACACTCTCATTGGATCCAGATCACAGAGAGTTCATCGTTAAGGACCAAGGCTGTTTGCCAGCTTTGGTCATGTTTTTGTCATCGACAGAGGAGGCCGTCGTATCGACCACACTCGACACACTCGGTCTGTTGGCCCAGAACGATAACAACCGTCCACTGATGCTTAAGGAGCCTGGTCTCATGTCTGGCCTCAAGAAGTTGGCCACCACCTCCACCGACGACAACGACACCACCACAAACAACAACACCATCAGAACACAATCTAGCGCTATTGTCGCCCAGCTGGAACCTCAGACACCACCTACCTCCTCCACTACGTTCCACGCCGCGCCCGCCCCCGTCAAGCTCCAGACATCGTTCTCCATGCTGGTCGGCGACAAGTTTGCCGGCGGCTCCCAGCACCGCGTACCCAACGGCGCCGCCTCCAACGCCAAGACTCTGATCTTCTTCATCAAGGGCATGAACACCGAGGCCCTGAAGAAGCAGGTTGAGGAGTGTCTGCTCAAGACCAAGGGCATCATCTCGTTCATGATCGACCTGCACACCTACCAGGCCACCATCCGCTGCACTATCGGCTCCGACGAGATCAAGGCAGCCATCAGATACACACTCGGTCTGCAGGCATCGCTCATGATCGATGGTCAAGAGGAGGTGGACAACTCGCCCGACTACCTGCCCGAGATCAACGGTGGCAACACAAACTCCTCCAAGAAGTCCAACTGGAGCTGGAACTCCATCGTCTCTTTCGGCACATCCACCGACAATGCCAAGCCTGCCAACCAGAACTGGGGCTGGGGTTCAATCTCAAAGGCACTCTTTGGTTAAGATGTGTTCGCGCGCGTGCGGGAGTCAACAATCAATCAACATTATTCAATCAATCACATCAATCACATCAATCACAACAACATCATAACAACATCAATCTGTATTTAACAACAACAACAACATGATAGTACTAGCGTGGACGAGAAGAAGCCTGGCTTCTTCTTTCGTTGTATAGAATAAGATCTATTCAACTCTGAATGACCAACCATCCATCCATCCGCCTCTGGCAACATAATAAAATATCCAATACAAGTCCAAGTCATGGTACTTACTCAACATCATTTCACTCAACCATTGCCCTCACCCTCGCCCTCGGACACAAGTGGTAATATCAAGGTTAGAACATATATTTAATGAAGTATATCATGGTTCCAATGTTGATTGATTGGATGGACAATGATGAAGAATCAAAGTTGAATGATTGATCAATGTTTCAATCTTAGATGTCAGTATCTCTTGAGTTTGAATAGTTGGCTTGGACAAATAATGTTGACGAATGGTCTCTTCAATCTTCTCATGCTCAACCAATGAAGAAGAGGTAGTAGGTGGATTGAACATTGTATTGATTGATATTATCTCAGACTTGAATGAATCAGTGTCTTTTCGAATCATTGACCTTGCCATTGAATGAAGATGTTTGAGTAGTCTTGACTTGGCACATTGTAGATTGATAAGTTAATGTATATCTATTTGAGATTACTTGACTTGGATGACTTTGTAGTATATCATGTAGATTGTTTAGTGCAACTAACAATTGTTCATCATCCTCTTGGAGATATTTAACGAATTTATGGATTGATTCAAGTATTGTCTTGAACTTGGTAATATTGAAAACTTGGAGCTATATTTATTTGAAACAAGACATCGTTTACCATCTTCATATTACTAATACTTTTATACTTCAATATTGGTTGATACTCTATTAATTGCTTGGTAGTGGAATCATTCTTACCATTCATCAAGTCATAATAATAATTAAAGAATTGTATTCTCCAATCACTTTGTCCAAGTTCATTTCTAAAGGAGTTCAATGCTGAAGTGGCATCCATTTCATTGAGCAATGAGTCGAGACTTGGTATTGTGGATGAAGACATGGTCTTGGTCATTGATTATCTATCTTTATACTTATATATACATAAGTTGGAATGGTAAATGAAAGAATGAAAGAATTAAATATTAATTCATGATCAGACATCTGGAATAATTATATTATTTAAATGTCCAATCTGATATCTTGATCATCAAAGAAAGAATGAATGTATGCATGATTGGTTGAGTGTCCAAGACCATCTAATATAAATATATATACAGATATCACTATTTAATATAAAGGTATGTTACTCCTGTTGTTTGAGTCGCCATAGTTCTTTACCAGGTGATGGATGAGACTGTGAGGGATCAAAGGGATGATGGTCAGACACTGATGATCATGTGAGCGAAGGAGGATGGATGTTCATAATCACCTGGTACTTACCAATATAAATATATAAAGAATGATACAATATAGAATGCAGTCTTTAGAGTATATCGCTTCTTGTAGACTGGCAACACACGGAATATCTCTGTTGCAAAGACTCGATGTTGATCATTGGTGTACCACATTATATGCATAACGACCAATGGCAGATTCCAAAGTATAAGATATATATTAAAGTGTATCAATAGTATCACTGACAACACTGAGTGAATGATATTCTCCAACTTGAATATAGGGTTCAATCTCCTCGCCAAGTCCACTGGGTTTACCAAGTCTGACTCCAAGTCTGTCAATGCAACGATCTACAACATTCATGTTTGTTAATATGTAGTCAGTGATCGATCAATCAATCAGTCAATCAATCAACATGTCATGTCGTTGGTTGAATGAGTGAGTGAGCGAGTAAGCAGAGTGATGACTTACACTAAAGACTCCAAAGAATACTAATATTGAGGTGATTACTAACACTACTAACCATAGTAATAAGGTGAAATCCATCTTTGTAACGCTAATATATATATGTATATGTTATGTATATGTACAAGTGTAAATAAATAAATGAAGAATGACTAGTTTGAAGATCATTCAATGTCAATGTTGTCCAAACCCATAAATTGAATTGTAATTATTTGAACTTCAAAGTTTTAACAAGATAACCCTATTTGAAAGTTGGCGCGCTAATAATAGTTCGTGGAAGACAATGAATAGTCCCTCAACTTATTGTCAATATAGTCAGAAGAACAGATATTACTTATACATACATATACATACTTATATACTTATATACATTATATAATATATTAATATGTCGGACGATGAAGATTGGTCACCATCCTCAGATGAGGAGAGTGAAGATGATTATGTGAGCGAGGATGAGAAACCAAAGAAGAGGAAGGCACCAGCAGCTAAGAAGACAACGTCAGCTGCAACAAAGAAACCTGCTGCTGCTGCAAAGAAGGCCACAACCACAACAACAAGAAAGAAGAAGGCAGTGGATGAAGATGATGAGGATGAAGATGCCGCTCCAAAGAAGAAGAGAGCACCAGCAGCCAAGAAGACCACGACAACAACAAAGAAGAAGACGGCAGTTGATGATGATGACGATACATTTATAGTGGATGACGACGAAGATGACGCACCACCAAAGCCACAACCAAAGGTCAACATCACCAAGGGCAAGAACAAGACGGTCGAAGAGACCTACCAAAAGATGGAGCTGCTCGATCAGATCCTGCTGCGTCCCGATACCTACATCGGCTCGACCGAGAAGCAAGAGGAGGAGCTGTGGATCTGGGAGGACGAGCGCATGGTCAAGCGCAAGACCACCTTTGTACCCGGCCTCTACAAGATCTTTGACGAGATCCTGGTGAATGCCGCCGACAACCTCCAGCGCCCCGTGCCCGAAGGCAAGAAGAAGATGAAGAAGATCGCCGTCGAGATCGACGTGGCCACCAACCGCATATCCGTCTGGAACGACGGTCCGGGCATCCCCGTCGAGATGCACAAGAAGGAGAAGATGCTCGTGCCCGAGCTCATCTTTGGCCATCTGTTGACCAGCTCCAACTACGACGACACGGAGAAGCGTCTGGCCGGTGGTAGGAACGGCTTTGGCGCCAAGCTGGCCAACGCCTTCTCGACGCGGTTCGATGTGGAGTGCGCCGACGCCGACAATGGCTTCCTGTTCCAGCAGACGTTCAAGAACAACCTCAAGTCAAAGAATGAGCCAGTCAAGACCAAATACACAAAGAAGACCGACTACACACAGATCACGTTCTATCCCGACCTCTCCAAGTTTGGCATGCTGAGTCTGGGCGACGACGACAATGTGGCCCTGCTCACCAAGCGTGTGTACGACGTGGCCGGCTGCAACCAAGGCCTGACGGTCACGCTCAATGGCAAGGACATCTCGTTCAAGGACTTCAAGAGCTACATCAAGGTCTACTTCAAGTCGGTGGACAATGCGCCCGAGGTCTACTATGAGCGCGTCAACGAACGTTGGGAGATCGCCATCGCCCTGTCCATGGAAGGCCAGGCCAACCAGGTCAGCTTTGTCAACTCGATCTGTACGCCCAAGGGAGGCACGCACGTCACCCATGCGCTGGGCGACGTCATCACAGAAATTGGCAAGGCCGTCGCCAAGAAAAACAAGGGTGGCATGGAAGTCAAGCCGGCCTTCATCAAGAACCATATCTTTGTCTTTGTCAACTCATTGATTGAGAACCCTGCCTTTGACTCGCAGACCAAAGAGACACTCAGCAGCAAGATCACATCATTCGGCTCAACATGCCATCCATCTGCCATATTCCTCAAGAAAGGTATGTCATCACTAGCCCATCACTCAATCAATCGCCGGCAACTAACTCATTCATACAATCATAGTCGTCGACCCCAAGTCTGGTATCGTGGCTCAGATTATATCATACGCCAAGCATAAGGATGACCTGGCAATGAAGAGATCGACCACAGTGGTCAAGAAGGGCAAGGTTAATATACCAAAGCTGGACGAGGCTAATATGGCAGGAACTGCACACTCGGAGGACTGCACACTGATCTTGACAGAGGGAGACTCGGCCAAGACGCTGGCCGTCGCAGGAATCAGTGTTGTCGGATGGGACCACTACGGTGCCTTCCCGCTCAAGGGAAAGTTGCTCAATGTGCGCGATGTCGAGCAGCGCTCGGTGATTGCCAACGAAGAGATCAACAACCTCACCACCATCATCGGTCTGCAACATGGCAAGGAGTACGATGACGTCAAGTCGCTGCGCTACGGTCACGTGATGATCATGACTGATCAGGATCACGACGGCTCTCACATCAAGGGTCTGCTGATCAACTTTGTGCACCACTTCTGGCCCTCGCTCCTCAAGATCGACGGCTTCCTCGTGGAGTTCATCACCCCTATCATCAAGGTCAGCAAGAAGGGCAGCAAGCCAATCAGCTTCTTCACGATCCCCGAGTTCCTCAAGTGGCGCGAGGCCAACAACGGCGCCAAGGGCTACGAAATCAAGTACTACAAGGGACTGGGAACCAGCAAGCCCGAGGAGGGCAAGGAGTACTTCAGCAAGATCGAGTCACACAAGATCGACTTCTCATGGGACGAGACGGCCGACGACGCCATCGACAAGGCCTTCAACAAGAAGCGTGCCGACGACAGAAAGAAGTGGATGGAGGAGTTCACGCCAGGCACCTACCTCGACCAGTACGGCACCAAGTCAGTCAGCATCACAGACTTTATCGACAAGGAGTTGATCCTCTTCTCGATTGCCGACTGTGAGCGTTCGATCCCGTCGGTGGTGGACGGCCTCAAGACATCGCAGCGCAAGATCCTGTTCTCGTGCTTCAAGAGAAACCTCAAGAAGGAGATCAAGGTCGATCAGCTGATTGGATACGTGGGCGAGCACAGCGCCTACCATCATGGCGACCAGAGTTTGGCGCAGGCCATCATTGGCATGGCCCAGAAGTATGTTGGATCGAACAACGTCAACTTCCTCTACCCCGGTGGTGGCTTTGGCAGTCGTCTGAACGGAGGCAAGGATTCGTCAGCGCCTCGTTACATCACGACCAAGTTGCAGACCATCGCCCGTGCCCTCTTTTGCGAGCAGGACGACGCTTTGCTCACACAGCTGACCGACGATGGCAAGCGTGTCGAGCCCAGATGGTACATGCCCACCATCCCAACCATCCTGGTCAATGGCAGCAAGGGTATTGGTACGGGTTGGTCGTCCACCATCCCCAGCTACAACCCACGCGACCTCGTTGAGAACATCAAACGTATGCTCAATGGTGAGGAGCCCACGGCCATCATGCCATGGTACCGTGGCTTCCGTGGAACGGTCGAGTACGTCGGTGGCAAGACATCCAACTACGTCGTGCGTGGCACTTGGAAGAAACTGGATGAGTATCGCTTGGAGATCACCGAGCTGCCCATCGAGTACTGGACCGCCGACTTCAAGGAGCTGATACAACATCTGATCGACCCCGAGCAAAAGCAGAAGCTCAAGGAGACCAAGAAGAAGCTCAAGGACTTCAAGGCAGGCAAGGTCGCAACAACCAAGGTGACCAAGGCCAGAAAGACCAAGAAGAAGGGCGACGACGAGAGTGATGATGAAAAGCCAGGCAAGATATCTCAGCCCATCGTCAAGTCCATGTCCAACCAAGGCACAGAGGACTCGATCCACTTTATTATCGAGACTGTGGTGCCTGTCGATGAGCTTGACGTTGTCAAGGTGTTCAAGCTCGAGTCCAAGCTGGCCGAGACCAACATGACTGTGTTTGACGAGAATGGCAAGATCAAACAGTTCGCAACACCAATCGAGATCCTCAGGTACTTCTTCGATCTTCGTATGCAGTACTATCAGAAGAGAAAGGTAAGTTAATCGCACGCCACACTCACTCAATCAATCAATCACTGACACTCATGATCACGTACACCATATAGGACTACCTCTGTGACAAGCTTGGCGAAGAGTTTAGCAGGCTCTCCAACAAGGCGAGATTCATCCTTGCAGTTATCAACAAGGAGTTGATCATCTCCAACGTCAAGAAGACAGACCTCATCAAGAAGCTGAAGGAGATGAAGTTTGATCAGTTTGTAGGCAGCGCTTCAAACAAGGCCAAGTCGAAGCTGAAAAAGTCCAAGTTGGAGAAGGAGGAGGAGGAGTTGGCCGTCGAGTCAGAGAATGAGGAGGACGAGGGCGAGGACAAGATGGAGTTGGACAACGAGTCCAAGGGCTACGACTATCTCCTCTCGATGCCATTGTGGTCCTTGACACTGGAGCGTGTTCAAAAGATCCTCAAGGAGCGCGATGAGAAGAAGGCCGAGCTGGACGCCACCAAGGCAACAGCAATCTCCAAGATGTACATGGATGACTTGGACTTGCTCACAGAAGAGCTCGACGTATGTTATCGCATCGGGCATGACCTGCACACGAGTGCAACTTGACTAACAACCAAACAATCAAACAAACAGAAACAAGACCATGAGGATTCAGAGCTGAGAAAGCAGGGCGAGCACTTTAGGAAGATATCCAAGGGAAAGGGCACATTGGCAAAGGCAAAGAAGAGAAAGGCTGCCCCAAGGAAACCTGCCAAGAAGGACTCTGATGACGACTATGAACCCCCAGCGCCTGCAAAGAAGACGACAAAGGCTGCTGCTGTTGCACCAGCAGAGCCCAAGACCACTGGCAAGAGAAAGAAGGATGATGAGCCTACGACGACCACGACCGCCAAGAAGATCGACTCGTACTTTACCAAGGTTGCCCAGCAATCCATCAATCTGGATGATTCAATGGACCTGGACAAGGATGACGACGATGATGATGTGGACTTTGTACAGCCCGCCAAGAAGACCAAGGAGACAGTCACCAAGCCAGTCCCGCCCAAGTCCAAGGCTGCACCCAAGGCCACAACCAAGAAGGCTGCTGCTGCCACCACCAAGAAGACCACAAAAAAGAAGGCCAGCGAAGATGACTCATTCATTGACAGTGATGACGACGATGATGATACTCAAGACGTTGACGTAGCGACTCTCAACGTGGTCACTCGTCCAAGACGAGCACTTCCACAACTCAAGTACTTTGCCTCTGATGACAGTGGCGACGACTACACATTCGATGAGAGCGAATAGACATCCTCTCTTCATGTACCCTATCCACCAAACCAACGCAACAAACAGACAATCAACTCAACTCTACACAATACAATACAATACGGCATCATGACTGCCATTTGATTCATTGAACATATCACATATTTATTTATACTAGTTATTGTCTTGATGAACTAGTTATAAACTGGTTGGATCGGCAAAGAGCTGGTCTCGGCGATCCTTTGGCAGCGTTGCCTTGAGAATGGAGGAGTGGAATTGGTTAATGTTGTCGATGTACACGTGATGGCCGCTGTCCTCAATGATGACAACGTCCTTGATGTTGTCCATCTTCTCTTTGAGGATGACGCCAGTGTTGTGATCGATCCAGGTGTTGGAGCCGTACATGAGAGTGACGTCGATCGATGGGTGGATGGCCTTGATGCGGTTGATCAGCGGGTTGGCAGCCCAGCCGTAGGGCAGAGTCAGCAGACCAAAGAGGCACTCGCCAGTGGCTGGCTCGCGTGCATTGGCATGATATATATATTGAGCAACGCGATTCGGATGCGTTGTATTGTTCTGCATGCCATCGTCTGGGAATATGTGTTGGAATTTGTTCAAGAGATCCTGTCGGCATTTATATATAAGGTCCTGTCCAAATGGTCCAAACGTTCTAAGCATGCTTAGAGGTACCTCTGGGCTTACGAACTTGAATAGTAGTTTAAATCTATTGATTGATTGATTGAGTTAGTGAGCTGGTCCAACTTGGTCCTTGACTTGGTCATGCCCCTTTGATCAAGTCCAAACACGGGATACGTACGGTAGTGATATTCTGTCTTCATAGTTTGATGGACGCTCTGCGAATCCCCAGGCATCGGCCAATACAAGGCTCTTTACCTTCTCTGGATGTCTGAGAGTGAAACAGGTGGAGATGTATCCTCCCAGTGAGTGACCGAGTAGATTGAACTTCTCCAGACCAACCTGCTCAGACCATCCATGAATGGATGTGATCCACAGGTTCTCAGCCTCCTCACTTGTCTTTAAGTCCGAAACATCAGGTCTTGAACTCCTGCCAAAGCCCAGCAAGTCAATAGCATACTATAATGTTTGATTGATTGATTGATTGGATTGTTAGAGGAGGAGGCCCGTCTTGGATCTGGTGACCACACTCTCTATCTCTCTACATACTACTGTATAATGTTGTGCAAGGAAGTCTATGTTGGCACACCAGAAGCCGACACCGGCTCCATAACCATGTATAAGAAGCAGTGGCTCACCCTTGCCAGCCTTGATTGTGTTGATCTGATACTCTCCAACCTTGACCATCTTTTGTTCGAATGGAGTGGTGATGGTCTCCATAATCCTCTTCTCCGCGCTCTCCAGCTCATCATTCGAGGACTTTATCCACTTCCAGTTCTTCCATGAATCAAACATCTTTACTTATTTATGTGTGGCGAAGTTATATGTATGTTATATTATATGTATGTAGTACAAATAATACTTTGTTGTTATTGTTTATGTTGTTGCTATTGTTGTAAAATACAGGCGAGACGTGTGGACACTTGTTGTTGTGTTGTTGGGGTTGGGGTTGGGATTGGGGTGGTCGATATTGATGATGAAACGAATGATTAAATATCTGATGGTGTTGGTCTTTAACACGCAAACAAACAAAACACACTTGTTATCACTTTTAGTCAAAGCAATCACTTGTCTCTAACTATCTATCTTATGTTTAAACTTTAGTATTGTAAAACACAAAGTTATAATTTATATTCTATCTATATATCTAACTATATGTCACAAGGTTGTTGTTTGATTTGCTATTTGTTTGTTTGATTGTTTTCGTAATGGTAGTAGAGATTTAGTAGTAGTAATTCCGGATCACCCTACCACCCACTCTAGGCAAAGGCCGCCGATGCCTGCAAGGAGGTGGACCATCTGATTGATGAGTGATTAGTGATGAGGGGTGAGCTGCAAAATTATTTAAAAAATTCAAAACAATTGGTTGGAGGACCTTTACAGCACCAAAAGCCTCGATTTCAGCAATTTCATTGTCATTTAGATTGGAACTTTCCTACAGATTGTCCATCATCGGTACACACTTGAAGTGATCGTGGGCACAAAACTCTCATACATGGCCCACCAAAGTGCCCTCTTTGACCTTGCACACGCTCAAATATCCAGTTTTGACTCCACAATAATAATAACATATTCCGAATAGGTTCGCGATCATTCTGACCTTTGACTCCTCCTCTCCGTCCTCTCTGTGTATCTATGTAATCTCGTCCTACACCTAAGATGCTTAAACTAACCAAATAAGTAAGTGTCAGTTAATGATGATGATGTTGTTGATGACGAAGATCAAATGATCAAAAGACCAGTCATACAAGTTGATGGAAAGATTACTGTGTTGGGTCTTTATTTGATTAGATTTCAAACAGAGGTGTTATTGGAAGTTGTTTAAGAAGAGGCCCTGGAACATGTCCATCCATCCATTGAATGAATGGGGAGTAAGTGAGGCAGGGACCTATCATTGTTGTTTGTTGTTTTGGTTATCTCTAATATATCTTATTATTATTATTACTTTGTTGTATATGGTTATTTGGTGTTGTGATTTAACATAATGGTGTTGTGTTGTTGTTGTCCAGCAATCCAATCAATGATGTGTGTGGGATGGAAGGACGGTCTTTGGGACGACGACGACGCTTGGAAATATTAATCGTATGACTTTGGTCTTGGGTTGCGGCAGATTCTGACGATCAAGAACAGCGCGAACAGCATGGAGATGAACTCGATGACACCGACAGTGACACCGGCAGCACCAGCAATGTACATGTTCTTCATGACAAAGTCGACAATGACACCCTTGCAGTATGGGTAGTCAGAGGTGGCGTTTCTCTCGTTGGTGCCAGTGGAGTTGGACATGCAGGCGGGGCCACAGGAGTTGACATCCTGGTTCCAGCAGCAGCACTTGAAGTAGTTCTCGGCAAACTTGCGCTCGTCCTCGGTCGACTTGTTCCAGGCAATGCCCAATGGCTCGGCGGCATTGTTGCGGTAGGAGAAGGCGCCACCACCGACACCGATCAGACACACCAAGAGAACCAGCAGGAAGATTGTGTAGAACACAAGGCCGACCAGCTTCTCTCTGTAGGCAACGACGCAACCAACAATGGTGAGCACCATGAAGAACACACCAATGACAATAATGCCCGCTGGCAATGATACATTGAGTATGTCATTCAAATGTGACAGTTGTGACAAGGCAATGCCACCACAAATAACCAATACCAGTCCTAGTACCTATTTATTAATATAGATAGGTAGATAGTAATGTGATTGAGTGAGTTAGTTTAATGTACTATTACTATAACTAATACTAATACTAATATTACTAATACATACCCATAGGATGGCATTCAAAATAATCAAGGGCACCTTCAAGTACCTTGGAGTCTTTGGTAGGAGATCGGAAGTATCTACCATTTTATCAATACTAAATATTACTCTACTGGAGGAGGAGGAGGAGGGAGACCTTTAGGTTTTAGATGCTGCAGAGGAGAGGCTTTAGTTGTATGTTATATTTATTATATGTATATGTATATGTATGTAGAAGTTGTAAGCTAAATGGTTGTATTGTATGAGGTGGGTCCTCAATCATTCAATCATTATATTCATTCATTACATTCATACATTCATTCACATACGAGGGCACATGTGTATATTGCTTGCTCACTTTACACACACATGTGTTCAGTGTTAGTAGTAGTGGTAGGTATGAGCAGCATCTTGAGCAGCATGTGTGCGTAGAGGCGTGGCTGTAGCAAGGGGGTCACGAGTGATGAGAGTAGGTGTTTGGAAACACTTTGGTTGCATCCATCGACGTGGGTGTGAATGTGTGTGTTTGAGTGTTTAGTAACACTAACTTAGTTTGGCTAGTTATAGCCCCAGTTAGTTAGGTGAAGTGATCCACTTTCAAGGACTCTCCACTCTCACACACACTTATCTCTCTACTTTCAATGTGTACACATAAGAGAGATAGAAGTGTACAAATATATATTTATATGGTGTGTACACTCTCACTTGTCAGTCACGCCTTCCTTCAAAACTACGACTACTGATGGAGGCCACTCCACTGTGAACATTGTTGTTGCTGCTGACAACCAACCACAATAAAGTCCCAGCCAGCCAGCCAGCCAGCCAGCGAGTTATCGAGCCCAAGCCAGCGAGCCAGCAACGCACGTGATAGTATGAGTGGTGAATTCAAACATGCTCTAAAGGCTGTTGTTGCTTTAAATATATGTATGCTAGTAACAGAACAACACCTTTATCAACTATAGCGTTATGGTGCTGGCAACAACAACAATAACCCGCCCAGGCCTGATTGAGCAACTGAAGTTAATGAATGATTTCTAAGTTTATATACTATTCCAAATGGTTGATTGAGTATCCATTGTGAAGATCTAAATTGAAGTCTGGTCCAGTCCTGTACCATCGTCCGAATGAGTGAAATGTTGAAGGAAGTGAGTTAACTCCTCAATCAATATAATGAGATAATGATTACCATGTTAATTATCCTTGGATACCTGAAGAAATGGGAAGTCAAAGAGTGAAAAAAGGCGCTTAGTTTAAACAATGTGATGGAAGCGATCAAATAAAATGGACAGGTATAAGGGTATGTCAATGTCAATGTCAATGTCAATATCAATGCTTAGCTAATATCAATCAGTCCGATTGGTTGTGAATGAGTGAGAACCAACTAACTCAATACGTCTTCACTAACAACTCAGAAATTGGTATTGATTCACTTTGTTATGCACAAGGGTTGTTGGTGACCAATGAAGCCGTGCAATCAATCAACGATGATCTACATGATGAGATAATGAAGAACCTACAAAAGAAAGTGCGAGAGCTTGATAATGATGCTTGGATGTTCACTTCATCTTCTTCATCCTCGTCATCATTGGACAAGCTTGACAGTGGTCAGCAACCTCCACCATCAAACAGAAGCAACATACACAGACTATAGTATGCTACCATCACATTGATGATGTGGTGAATCTATAATCAATCAACGGATGGAGATCGGTCAATCTAGTCAAGTCACAAAGTGGAAATACTCCATCTCTCCAACAATCCACCGATCATTCATGGTGACTATCCTCTGCTGGTCAACCGCAACAAAGATATGGTCTATAAACAAGTCAGGACCCTAGATAATCATCATTATTGACAGACTACTTGGGATGATACATCTTTGAGGACTCTCCGCTGTCATGCAAAGAGCTTGGAAGTTCGAACTCGAGATAGCTAATGAATTTTTTTGTATTTAAATAATAAAATTTTCGCAAGAGACTGTGTGTGTGGATGGTGCACCTCGCTCTCGCTCTCTCGCAGTCGCTTGTGTCTATTCAATTGATGTGTTGTCTTGTTTAACCAGCTCACCTACATCAATCCTACATCCCCTTTAGAAAATGGTTGGTATCGATACATCCTACCTATCGCGATGTCAATCAATCAGCTATCAATGCGAATCGATCATCAATCAAACGACATGCTAGACAAACAATCGATTGTCGCGATATTGCAGGATACCTCGAATATAGCATCCAACGAAACGATTAAGATTCTAATACAGGAATGTTATTATCACATATAGGTCAACATCCCAAAGGCTCGTAAGACCCACTGTGACAAGTGCAACAAGCACACCCCACACAAGGTCACCCAATACAAGGCTGGCAAGCCAAGTCTCTTCGCTCAAGGAAAGAGACGTTACGACAGGAAGCAGAGAGGTTTCGGAGGTCAGACCAAGCCAGTCTTCCACAAGAAGGTATGAATCAACAGCATCCAAACATCTTGAAGGCACACAACAGGCAACAGCACTAGTCCAAACAACAGCGCGATCGCGAAGTATATAGCGATGAGATTATGAATGTCCGCGAACAACAACACATTAGCAGTTCACTTGATTGATTGATTGAATGATGGATGTGACCCATGCGATATGATACGATATGTTTCATTGAGATTTGGAATGGACTAGTTGGACTACACAGTGTAATGCTATTCGTGCGATACATATTCTAATACTCAATCAATCATTCAATCATTATAGGCCAAGACCACCAAGAAGATCGTCCTCAGAATGGAATGCTCGTGTGGTCACAAGAAGCAGCAAGTCATCAAGCGTTGCAAGCGTTTCGAGCTCGGAGGAGAGAAGAAGAAGAAGAACGAGGCTTTGAAGATCTAAACATCCTTATCGCATTAATTCTTTCAAACTCTTACCAGCATCAATAAAGGGGGCTTTGTTAACAGAATCATTCATTCATTCATTCATCCAGCCACAATCATTCTTGTGATTGAGTTCCTTTGATCAATGTTTGGGAGTATGGGGGAAGTGATTATGTATTTCCAGCAAACCTGGAACTTGATCAATCACTCCTCAATCAATTGTACATTCATTTCAATCAATCACATAATGTGTTGTGATAATGGCCAACAACTATTATTATATTACTTTCTCAACTTAGTGATCAACAATAGGCGAACTAAATTCAAATAATAACTTTTGTGGGTGGATCACAACCAGGTGTGCAGTGAACAGGAGTGATAGTGGAAAAGTGGGGTGCGTGATCCTTTGGTCAATCAATCAACAATCACGCTCACTCACCCATCATCACAACTTAAAGTTGTCCAAAAGACCATCGTCTGTTGTATACATTATATACCATCATTCATTCATACATGATCTCAATCAATCAATCAATCAATCATACATAGACACAAACACAAAGATATCAATCATATAACAGACATCAATCATATAGAATGGCAGTTATTGTATGCCCAGAGTGTAGCCAAGATTATGAAAAGGAAGCAAAGTATTGCTATAAGTGTAGACTGGCATTCACAGATGATCTACCAGAGAGTATAAAGAAGTACCTGAGGCCAAGAGCAATGCAGGCAACATCAGGAGGTGGTGGCATAGGTCAACGATCACACACAGTGCCATTGTCATCTAGTAGTGCAATGACAGACAAGTCAATGCTTCAGAGGAATGCCTCACAACCTGTACCAATATACAATTCAAAGAGTCACAGCAGTGGCAACATCAATCTCACTGGTGGTGTCGGATCAAACTTGATATCATCCTCATCGCCACCATCAATCAATCACATGGCCAACATCAATAATACAACGTCGTCATCCAAGATGACCACTCCCGTTCAGCCAACTACGACACCAAACAAGAAACAGCCACCACATGTACCATCACATCCTCTTCCAGCCGTGCCACACAGGCCACATGCCAACAGTGCGCCAACACAACCTACACAACAACATCAAACAACTCAATCACAAACACAATCAACTTCACCTCCACTTCCAGTTAACAACACTCCAGCATCACATCATCGCCAGCCACCTCCACCACCTTCAACGACCCCGCCTCAGACCGCGGAGGAAGCCGCGCCACCCAGCAGGAGGCCACTTTCACGTCGCATCCCACCGCCTCCACCCGGCAAGAAACTGGTGCGAGCTGTCTGGGATTGTATACCCGAGCAAGAAGGCGACCTAGAATTCTACGTTGGCGACATCATATCAGTCACGACCAAAGACGACGAGTCTGGTTGGTGGATTGGCACTCTCAATGGACGTTCAGGCCTATTCCCACGCAACTATGTAGAAGAGTACGAAGTCTAATTGGATTGATTGATCAAGATATATACATACATACATACATACTTTATTGCAATGAATGAATAAAGTTGAATGGAAGTTGATGATCGAATGGACTGGGAGCGACCAGCCACTACTGGTCTAATTAATTAATTAATCCCAACCAATGGCACTACTCTCCAACAGTGCTATGATTCCAATTGACAATGGGAAGAGACAGAAGACGACCAGTGCATGTATCATGTTGAAAGTGATACGGAAACTGCCAAGCAGTCCAACGGTCAACGTGACAATGAATATCACAAGGGTCTCTGCCGAGAAGTCCCATATCAGGCCTCGATAGTAGATCATAAACATGAGTATGCCAAGTGACACCAGGTTGTTGATCGCCACGGCGCCATACAGAGCCGAGTGCACCAATGATATGTGCTTTCTTTTCTTGTGTCCACTCAGTATCCAACTGGATACAAGCTCGCTGGCGTTGAGAGCAAAGGGTGCGACGATGAACGAGATGTAGAAGGGAGGTATTCCAATGCGCGCCGAGAACGAGGTGATGATGTTGACAAAGGCATCAGCAAAGAGGAAGACGAGGGCAGTGCCCATCACAAGACATGCTGTGGCCTTGAGGATGAATCGGCGTTTGCTGACGTCGTCCGCAGGACCCTTTTCGAATGGGTCGATGGTGAGGTCCACAAACTGATGTGATGATACATCCACATGTCGCATCAGGTCCTCTTCGTCCAGGTGATTGATCTTATTCTTCAGGCCATGGAACACACTACTTAAATTGTGTTGGTAGTCTACATTTGATTGTTGTTGTTGTTGTTCGGGTGGTGGTTGTAGTTGCTCTGTTGCCTGTTGTTGGATTGGTGGTAGATGTGGCGGCAGGTATGGTGCGCCTGAGCTCTCACCTTTGGACGACGGGTCCTCTGATTGACGAATTGCATCGAATGGGATATGTGCTTGTTGTGGCTGTTTCTTTTGCTCATGTTGGTGTGATGAGCTTGTACCGCCACTTGGAGAGTCGCACGTTGGTGGGAGGGGAGGTCGGGTGCCTGGAGGAGGTGGAGGCGGATGGAAATGCAGATGTGCAGCAGTTGGTGTTGGAGGAATGACATGATGTGATGAGTCCTTTACCCTCCTTGGGAATGAGAAGTTGATGTTCCTCCTGTTAAACTTGTCTGTTGGATGATGTACATGTAGTTCATCAATTGTTAGTTGTTGATGATGTTGATGAACTTGTTGAGGTTGACTATTAATATTATTATTGTTGTTGTTGTTCAAGTCATCAGCGTTGTTGGCGTTGACATTGTGGCGTAGATTCTTTGGTGTCATGTCAATGTCGACCAGGGTATCTGTGCTCACGACTTGTGAAGGTTGCTGTGATGTTGTGAGACCATGTGATGATGATGGCGGCAGTGGCTGCCTCTCATCGATCCTCTCCATGACGACACATGGCGCCGCAGGGTTGTTGGATGAGCCAATGATCTCACTGTCCAATCTCATTGGTTTCTTGATGGATGGCACACTTAGACATCGTTCGAACGTCCTTCGCTTCAGACCCATCTTGACCTGCACCGACACATGCCTCAGGAATTGATCCCAGAGGAATCGTTTCCTAATGAGATTGAGTTTGCGCTCCTGGTATCGGACATCGTACATCTGATAGATGCTGTACGTGACGAAGCCAACCATGCATATGATGCTGGCGGACAATGCCCAGTACTTTTCTCGCTCGTTGATCTTTGATCCTTGTGCCTCTGATATGAGGAATGCCAAAGTGATGATTAGATATGGCAGCAAGGTCAACATCATTATTCGACACAGTGTTGGTGTATAGGACATCACTGACACACCACATTTGCGCCATGACCATCCAGTATATGTCTTATTCTTGGCCAATCCTGTAATCTCTGAGAAGTCGCATCGACCTCTAAACACAGCAATTGCCCATGGTATTGTAATTAAGAATGTATTTCCTCCTGTTAAACTTCCAACTCCAACAGTCTATAATTGATTGATTGATTGGATGATGTTAGTGATTGATCAAACACTCATTCAATCTTCAATCATTCATGATATACCTACCACTTTGTGTTGTATCTCTAAGGGTGTCCCTCCCAAGCAACTGACCAATATGATGGCTGCATCTGGCAATGTGCCAAGAAGAGGCAGGAGTAGGCCTCCAATGATTCCAGGTGATAATACCTTGAATAAGTATGAGTGAGGGGTGGAGGAAGGACAAGCAAGATTAGAATGAATGGACACATCCACATCAACATCCACATATCCACAGACATACCTCTAATAAATATTCACTTCCAAGTGATATTAGACGTGAACCTAATCCAAGCAGGAATGCATATACTGCCATCAAGAAGATATCCGAGGATATCGTGCCAGAACACGGCAGCAAATCATTGCATATTTGCTCCGATGTAGCTGTGAACATCAATTGATAAGCTGCTAATCGCAATCGCTATAGTTTAGCTGATATTAACTGGAATATAATATATTATAGATTGGAATGATTATAAATTGGATATTAATGTTTGGTAACCTAGGCTCGAATGTATTTACCAAAGAGGTAAGTGTACACTATATCTCTAAATAATACCAAATACATAAACTAGTTTGGCTGACTGGATTGACAAACGGATGGATGGACGTATGTATGAATGTATGAGTGGATATAGATGGATGGATGGATGGATGGAAGGATGGATGGAAGTAGTAGTGTACGTGTATATTCTGTACTTCAACATGTATACAAGGCTACACTTTCCGACCCTTGTCTACCTGTCAATGTTGTTGTTGTTGTCGTCGTTGTTGACAGCAATGAATGAATGAATGAGAGCATGTCTAGCGTTGAAGCGTCGTAATGTCGACGGCCCTTTGTCCTGCCGTCCCTCTCTCTCTCTCTCACTACCATGCCAACATGTTCATTCATTCATTCACACATCCTCATCCACAAACACACTAACACCAAGATGGAATGGAGGAGAAGACAACGGGTAATCCCCTCGACTACGATGCGACTAATAGTGTGTGTGTGTGTGTGTGTGTGTGTGTATGAAGGAATGAAAGATTACCATATTTGTAAGCAATCTTACACATTAGTCGATTCAATGTCAACTGTTGTATTCTAGCCCGGGCTTTTATTTATCATAACCCATGTTCATTCATTCATTCGTTCAATTCAATTTCAAAGACACAACAACAACAATGTGAAAGAAAGAGATAGATAGAACTTCGTTTATGAATGGAAGTTGAATAACTTTATTGTTTTTAATTGTTTGTTTTTTTGATGACCCAAAACGAACGATTGCGATGATTTAATTTTCTTTTTTTTCAACAATAGCAGGTGGATGCATGGACGCGACGACGAACCCTTTCTCTCTCACTCCTGATCCCCTCGCGAGCTAGGCTCACTCTCACTCCACTCACTCACACATTCTCTCTCGTCTTTATAACAATAATCGTTCGTGCTGATACACTCTCAACTCTAACATACATACATATATTTATATATATATAAATATAAATCAACAATTCAATAATACTTGCTTTGTTAATTTTATATTAACTCCAACACCCTATATAACTACATAACATGGAAAGAGGAGGAAGAGGAGGACGTGGTGGCGGTTTCCGCGGTGGACGCGGTGGTGGCGGCGACAGAGGAGGTCGTGGCGGCAGCTTTGGCGGTGGTGGCCGTGGCGGCGGCGGCGACAGAGGAGGTCGTGGCGGCTTTGGCGGCGGCCGTGGTCGTGGAGGTGGCGACAGAGGACGTGGAGGCGGCGGTCGTGGCCGCGCAGGTTTGGGCGCTGCTGGACGTGGTGGTCGCGGAGGCGGTCGCGGAGGAGCCAAGGTCATGATCGAGGCCCATCCCAGATACGAGGGAGTCTTCTTGGTCAAGGGCAAGGAGGAGGCATTCGCCACCCTCAACTCCACCCCAGGCGAGTCTGTCTATGGAGAGAAGCGTGTCAGCGTCGAAAGCACTACCGGCGGCACCGATAAGAAAGAATATAGAATGTGGAACCCCTTCCGTTCAAAGATTGCCGCTGCTCTGCACAAGGGAGTCAACAAGATCTGGATCCGTCCAGGCGCCAAGGTCATCTACTTGGGTGCTGCCTCAGGCACCACCGTGTCGCACGTCTCTGACATTGTCGGTCCAGAGGGTGTTGTATATGGTATCGAGCTGTCAGCCCGTTCCGGTCGTGACCTGATCGGCATGGCCAAGAAGCGCACCAACGTCATCCCAATCATCGAGGACGCCCGTCACCCACAGAAATACAGAATGCTGATTGGCATGTGCGACGTGCTGTTCGCCGATGTCGCCCAGCCCAACCAGGCACAGATCGTGGCTCAGAACGCCGCGTACTTCCTCAAGAATGAGGGACACTTTATCATCTCTATCAAGGCCAACTGTATCGATTCGACTGCTTCCACCGAGGCCGTCGTCACCAAGGAGATTGAGAAATTGAAAGCAGACAACCTTAAGCCCCTGGAACTCCTGAAGAACCTCGACCCATATGAAAGACATCACGCTTTGGTCATTGGTCACTACAGACCACTACCAAAGGATAAGAAATAAATCAAATCTTACGATAACATCTTTATTCAAACGTCATCACATGTATATATATATATATATATATATATCTCTCTATCTCTTCACTATTGTGTCCAAATTCATTTATTTATTCAATCACATACATGACTTTGCAAAGGATGAGTTTGCAAAAAAATGATCAAACACACACTGAGTTAGTGAGTGAATGATTGCAAGTTAAAGGTTGTCACCAATCAATCAATTAATCAATCAATCAATTAGATATTTTTATATTTTATATATATTACAACAATGACAACTACAACTACAACAACAACAACAACAAAATCAATCATGTTAAATCCTTTGGAGAATGCCATGACATCTAGTGATGCTGTCCAATACTTTAACGGTGAAGGAGCTAAAGAGGGTATTCACAAGTTGGGTGGAGTGTACTTGACACGAGGCGTCATACCAGATTCAAGCCCAGTATTGAATGATCTAATGAATAACATTAACAATGGAATGGAGAGTTTGTATCAACTGATTTGGGTCAATTTTGAATCGTTTGTTCATAAAATTAACTAACATATAAATAATTAGAGAATAAATCAAACGTATATCTGAAGGGATCGTCGAAGGCAGACATTAGATATTACATTAATAGGATATTGGAAGAAATGAAATATCAGATACATGATGAGGCACGGGAGGCTCTTGTTGGTGCACATCTCGCTCTACATTGTTTTAGGGGAGGTGATAACAAAGAATTGGACAGTGTAAGTCATTTCATGTCAATCAATCAAACAATCAAATTCTAACATAATAAGATAATGATATACAATACACCAGGTGATTGAAACCAATATTACTAGTCACGATGGCAAAGTTGTCGATATTAGTGTTAATATGCATGTATTTAACAGGATGACAATGGTGCTTGATGGAGTTGATGTAAGTTATTTGAGTGTTAATAGGACAATCCAACAAACAATTATATATATTTATATATCTAACATTCAATCAATATATATATATATATATATATATATAAATATATATAAACAGGAAACTATCCTCGATTTCATCCAACCAAATCCTTACTCTCAATATGCTAAGGCAACCAAGACTTTGGAGGAATTCTCAAAGATGTCTATCAATGATTTCAATCCAAATAATGAGAAACTTCAGGCCATCATCTCATTGTTTGGTATAGCTTCCAGAGAGGATCTGATCAGGGCAATGACCAAGAGCCACATAGATGTGACTCAAGATGATATCAACAAATTTGAGGTCAAGAAAAGCTCAAAGGTCGGTGTATACAACCTTTATATGCTCTCCAAACTGATTGAACTCATCAATATCAAGCTCAACAAGGCTTGTCTTCAAGATCTCCCAAAGGATACTCCCGTGCCTGAAGGAGCAAGGGTGCTGACTTTGGTCCAAATCCCCTTGCACGATAAGGTCGGCATGGGATTGGCAGCATTCCTCAGGAATAGATTCGTCGATAACAATTCCGATCTATTATTCAAACAAACCATACCTTATCAGGAGAGGGTGATCGAGGCTGGTTTGGCCACATCAAAAGACAAAGTGACAGCTAGTCACACGGTAGCTGATTTCAATACCGCATCAGATTGTATTGTTAGAGCAGCTAAATCAATCGAGGGCTCAATATTCAGTCCAATGAGCAAACAAGATAGACATGGCGTCAGTGTATACTCCAATGGCAAGAGGGTTAGAATGGCATCATGCACTAACCAGAAAGTAAGTTAAGTTGGATAACAAAGTTGCCTTGGTTTTGATCAAGATCTTATTCTAATATTGTCCAAACCACAGTTCAGTATGGAGTTCGACGGACCAACCATCCTTAAAGACAGCGAACGCGTCTATCCTGATGAGTTCAGGAATTCTCTCATTTTCAATGACTACCAACATTTGTTCCTGAGTGATCGAGAGCTCTGGGAGCATAACCTATCATGCCACATGAGGGACGATCCATATGCTCACAACTATTTTGTCATTAACTTGGATGTAAGTACATTCAATCAATCAAATTATATATTTAATCAATTAATGAATATTTAAACTAAAATGTAAATATTTATTTGATTACAGTCAAGCACTTTGAGTGTAGAGTCGATCCTGGAGGAGACTGGCATCTCATTGTTGATAGACCTACCAATGAAGCATTGGACCAAGTATAGTCATGATTTATTCATCTCTACTTATAATTCATTGTTTACAGACAAGATCGTTGGAGATAAGGTGAAGAGAATCCTCCAGTTATTGTCCACCCTCACGGGTGTTCAGTACCGGGTTGGCAAGTATAAAGTGTTCATTTCTTCCCTTGTCGTAAGTATCAATTATTCTATTGATAGATTGACCTATTTGAATATTAACAACTACTTTAAAAGGTGGATGCCCTTAACCAACTAGTCGCTAATTTACCAAAGGAGGTCTTGGGTAACCAGTTGTCATCTTCTCCTTTTACTCCTTCAAGATCCACTCTACCATCAACACCAACCGCCAAAGAGAATTATAATGGTGGAAGCAATGTACTTTTTGACAAACTCAACTCTGCCAAGGGTAAAGAGCGTGTGCCAACCCAGGGAGTGGAGATGAAAGTGTTCTCAACGAACAATTTCATCCTGAGCAGCCCTTCCAACGACGATGACTCAACCAGCGACAACCACAGCATCAACTACAATGGAGGCATGGAAGTCCCAGTTTCCAATCTGAGAGATATCGATATTCCAACTCAATCCAATGACATTAATGCCGGCGATGACAGCAACAACAACGATCATGTTAGGATCCAGATTGAGGAATTTATACCCAGATTGGTCGATGATCCAAAGTACGAAGATGGAGCAAAGTTTGGTGGCATTTGGAAAGAACAACTAGTTTGTTTGATTGATCTTGTTGAACGTCTAATCAAAGGTAATTAATTTATTATCACCTTCATCATTTATTAATTAATTGGAGATCACTAACTTAATAACCAACTATTATTTAAATTATAGGTCAAATCGAGGAACACATAGATGAATTGTTCCTAGGAATTATTATATATATCGATAGATTCCTCTATTCCAACTTGATGTGGCGTAAAGATTATGGAGTCAATATTCTAATCCCACCCATTATCAAGGGCCTCAATGACTACATACTCAAGTTTGGCTACCACCATCACAATCCAGTTGATGGTGCCAATGTCCAGCAGGTGGAAGAACCAACCATTATCAGAGTATGTAGTAGACAACATTAATCATTTTGACCAATCAATCCTAACTTAATATGATATAATAAGGACCATTCAATATTCTATACAATTTTTAAGTCTGGTATAAGATGGTACCTCCTCCAGTACTATGATGAACTCAACACCGACCTAGAGTATGCTAGTCTGATGACCACTTTGACCGAATGGTTCTCCCTTGTCTCAAAGAGTGACGCCTTCTATCTCAGTGTAAGTGATCCAAGTCATTGATTGATTGATTGATTGATTGAATGAATGAAAGATGATACTAATACATGGATCTAGATATTGGACCCAAAGTATGGTCAGAAAGGAAGGAGCATAAGGGTACTCTTCAATGGACTGCAGCGTGTTGCTGAGAGGACCTACTCCAAGCCAGAGTATGCTGAAGCCACACGCAATCTGATCAAGGCAGTGGCCAACATGACCTCTGATCTTAGGATCACCAATCTATTGGTTGAAGGCTGGGTCGTCAACATCCTCAACTATCTCAAACTACGATTGGACAAGCTTATCTATGCATTGATATTCAAACTTAGGGAAGGTATGTATTTGATCGGAACCTGTTGATTCATTGAATGATTGATTGACTGACTGATTGGTCCCATTCCAGACCCAGTTGCCCAGGCTGGTATCATTAGGATCGCCAGGAACATGTCTTCCAACAAGATATTGTGTCATGATCTGATCAAAGCTGGGGTCGTTACAAAGTTGGTCGGTAGTCTTCCGCTTGGACAGGAGATTGTAGTCCAGGAGTTCACTGGTCTCATCGTCGGTATCAAGGACAGCCTCCAACAAGACATTCAGGAGCAATTCAGAGGTGTGGAGGACCAGATGGAGGGTGTTGGCTACATCATGCTCCACATGATACTCACCAAGGATAATGAGCAGGAGAGGGCAAGACTATGTGTACACCTTGAGAGTCTTTGGAAAGCATCCACCAACGTCAAGTATGAGGTCAGCGTTGCAAAGAGTCGCAACATCCTTCAAAAGGGTGTAGGCTACATCCTTGGTTGGTACAGAGCATTGGCTGTTGATAGTCTAGCAGGTGGTCTCAACGCAGCTACACTGGTTGAATCAATCTTAGTTGATGCAAGGGCGAAGTCCATGGTAAGTAGTCATCATCATACAAGCGTGTTGTCATTATGCAAAAAGAGAATGAGTTGACTGACCACCTTCACTAGATCACAGCCAAGTGCAAGAGAGCAATGAAGAGTCTAAGGATAAGAGAGGAGAAGACTGTGCTGCCACAGCAGGCGCAGCAGGAGCAGGAGCAGGAGCAGGAGCAGCAACAGGTGCAAGAGCAGCAGTAGGAGTAGCCACAACAGTGGTAGTGCCATCATCAATGGCTTAGTTTAATCATCATATTTACAATTCTATCAATCAATCAATAAATCAATCAATCCAACGAATCCAATCAATCCAATCTTGATCATGAATATTGTAGTGACTGTGGCATTGTCAATGCTACTGCCTGCTGTAACTCCAATATCATTAGACTGACATTGTTGATTGAGTCTTGGTCGTTGGAGCTGTGCAGGAAGTGTGCCAATGTCTTGTCCAGTGATGTGATCGATAGACTGTCGAAATAGATCTTCAAACAGATGACAGACAATGTCATCTGGTATTGAGCGAGGTAGGTGCGCTCCATATACATCATAGAGTTGGTTAGCAATCTGACGCTGTTCTTGAACTGCTTGTAGTGCTCGAGCAATGCCTGAGGGTCGCCAGAGGGCGGTATATCCACGCTCCGCAGATGCTTGAAGACACACTGTCTGATATCGTTCAGTAGTCTATCTGCACACTTATTGATCACTGCACCGTAGGCTGCTCTGTACACCTCTTCGATTGAAAGGTGATCAGTCTGTCCCCTCAATATATTTGGGACGGCCACACTTAGTTGTCTTCTCCACACTGAATCATAGCTGTAGCTCTGGCTGATCATCAGCGGGGAGGTCGGTGTATTCATTTGTCCTCGTATCTCTATCTCTTTCTATTCCATCAAATGAATGAATGGTCACCACTCGCCACACATCCATCACTTCGCTAAAGGGGTGATGTTCTTCCAACTTGGATTGATTGATTAATGGATGGAGGTATGTTACAAATGGTTTATTATACATTTAGATCGTGTGTGTACATAATGGAAGAACATGGACTTGATGATTGCTCCAGAATGGATGATGTGAGATTGATCAACCCAAACTTCTGGATCATGGAGGGCACTGCCAGACTACTGCCAATGACCTGTCCTTGAGTGATCTTGTTCGCCACAACCCCAATGCCTAGACCAATAGTCCCTGTACAGTCCAAGCCTCTCGAAAGGCCATGGCCTTAAGTACAAACAGTAGATTGATTGATTGACGGGAATTTCTGTGATGGCGTGGGCATTGAATTCTGTAACTCGAGTATCATCTGACTGATCTCTGTTATTAATTGATAATCACCATTGTTTGTAGACATGAGATGTGATACTTGACGATCAAGTGTTGAGATGTCCATGTGTTGTAGATATATAGCCATACATATATTTAGTAGAGAAGTGTTTGATCTTTCAAGATACACTCTCTCCACATACATATATATATCTGTCAATGCTATTATATTATGTTTGAATGATTTAAAGTGATTGAGTAACTCTAATGGATTGGATGGTGGTGTATCTTGTGCAAGATGTTCATTGAGACATTGTTTGGTATCTTTGAGTAGTCTATCAGTATGTGAATGGAGCACTGAAACATAGACACATCTATACACCTCTTCAAAAGACAGAGGATTGCTCTGTCCCTTCAATATACTCGACATGGCAACCTTGATTACACTCCATCCTTTATCATAGTTTACTGTTGTACTATCTTTAAATGGTTTAATTGTGATCTTACTCCTGCTACTCATCCTCTCTCTCTCTGCCTCTTATTATATCTATCTCTATCTCTACCCAACAAATTCAATTCTGTGCGAGGTGGGGATTCAGTTTATATGAGCGAGGTCCATCCCACGCACAAGTGCACAATAAATAAAATGAGTGTTTGGCATCTCAAAAGAGACATTTTGACTCAAAGTCAACAAAACTGTATGTATATTTTGAGATATTGATTGATCAATTAATAAATAATTATGGTTTGGTCGTATAATAATACAAATGATTGTTATGGATATAGATCTTGATGTAGATTATTGTGGTTTTTATTATTTATTTAATTTATATTTTTTTTTTATTTTGGACAAATATTTCTTAGATATCACCGACAGCGGTGTGTTGGCTTGGATGGAAGCGAACTCAGAGTCGTATATAGTGATGGTGGACTCTGCCAACTGGTTGTACCATGTCCTTGGAGATTGTTTTGAGGCATCGTTGGACTTGGCCCTCTTCAATGGTTGAATGGTTGGACGATCACCCTCTATGGTTGCACTGATCGCGTCTATGTTTGGTACCATTCCTCCCGACAGGTACGAGTCTATCAACAATGATTGCATAAACTCTGGAGTGAAGCGATGATTGGATCCATCCACGATCTCTTTGACGACCTTGTGTCTATTCTCTAGGCCAAAGTTTGCTAGGCGATCCAACGACCCATACTTATGTAAGAATGCTCCAACGTGTAGAACCTGTGCATGGATATAGGAGGTAACAACTTTTCCAAACAAGTTGACATAGTTATTACCAAATGGGATGGAGTAGGACAGGTATAGGTCCTCAGTGATTCTGTATTGATTGGTCTGTGCCATAAACACCAAGAAAGTGTATTGTTTCCACAACACATTGAGCTGTAACTGAAGGTTAGCGCAGTGTAACAATGAAATGGTAGAGTGACTGTGTATACTAACCTTCTGGACCTCTAGATTGGCGACACTGTAGGGTAGACCCTCAATCCTCTTCCTCAAATCTTGTGACTGAGTA